CCTCCGTCAATGCACGCGAGCGGAGGAAAACGTTGATTCTCGACCGAGAAGTGGGCGCCCGCGTGCATTGACGGAGGATGACATGAAGACGCTCGAGAATCTGTCAGAAGAGCTCCAAGGTTACTTCACGTGGGAATCGCTCGCGAAGCGGTTCACGGAGAGAACAGGTAAGCGCGTGGCGTATAAAACAGTGTATAATTTTTGTAAAGCAGCTGGCTGGCGCCAAGTGTGCGAGCGTTATGTACCTTGCCTCAGCGCTAAAGACGTGCAGAGAAGATTGGAGTGGGCAAAGCAGCATCTTGATTACACTTGGACGGGGACGGAAAACTTGCGATACCCGAACGTAGCTAAGAGCAAAAAAGTAGGATGGATCGATATTGACGAGAAATGGTGGGATATGCTGCGCAAGCGAGCGGTGAAGGTGTACCCAGGACAACAACGGCGAACAAGGGTGCCAACGAAGAGCAAGCGTTTTGTTCAAAAAGTGATGGGCCTGTGCGCCGTTGCGCGACCGTGCGGCGACTTCGACGGACGAATAGGAATGTATCGCTGCGCAAAAAAAAAGGTTGCGCAGCGAAACAGCAAGTTTCACAAACGAGGAGACGTGTATGATGAAGACTGTGATGTTGACGCAGACATCTTCTACGAGTTAGTCACCGAGAAGTTGATCCCGGACATCTATAGGAAAATGGCAGACTTTGACATAGTCTTTGTACAGATGGATGGCGCACGGCCTCATGTGAAGTGCATGGACGCTTTAAACGCTGCTGGAAAGGAACGGAAGCGCATCGATGGGAAGCAAATGCCAATGATCAAATTTGTGTTACAACCGGCCAACTCGCCGGACACCAACTTGAACGATCTCTGCTTCTTTAGGTCGCTATCAAAGTACGTTCAAGAGCACGAACGTCAGATCGAACACAGCGCTGCCAATAAGGACGAGTTTTGGAACCTCGTGGTGGAGCAATACCATGAATATCATGACCGCGAGAGACTTCAGAGATGCTGGGATGTCAAAACTGCAGTCACTAAATGCATCCTCGACGCCAACGGGACGAACGATTACAAGCTACCGCACGGCATCAAGCACGAGGAACCCATTTCTGTCGATCTTTCCTTGGATTTGGACGACGCAAACGATCCGGTGGCGCGCACTTTGGACTACGAAGATCTGCATGCCTCACTCCCTTCTTCTCTCCCACGATAAATTTATGTTGCAAAAGTTGCGACCCCCTCGATTTGCCCTGAGTTGTAACTCAACAAAAAAACGCGAAAAAAAAGACCCCTCCACGAATTCACGAGTCATGAACCGGTGCATCACTTTTTACACGGAGGTTAGTATCATTTGTATCATGACGTGGGGAAAAGTACGGGTACTTTTCTGTGCGTCGTCGACGCATCGACGCGCGCGCGGCGAGCGTCGCGCGCGCGGCGACGGGCGAGCGGGATGACGACGACGCGGGCGAGGGAGACGACGACGACGACGCTCGCCGAGCGCAACGCCGAGGCGCTGTTCGCCGATCGCTCGCTCGAGGAGATCCGAGAGATCGAACGACGGACGCGACGAGAGGCGAGCGAGAAGGCGGAGGCGCTGCGGTACGTTCGCGTCGATGCCGTGCGGTGGAGGAAGGGATCGAGAGGGCGTGCGACGCGCGGGAGGTGGGGGGGAAACGCGTGCGCGACGAGAGACTGATTGATGACTTAATTCGCTCAAACGCAGACGCGTGCTGGGCGAGTCGTACAAGGACGCGATCGCGTCGGTGGAGGCTCTGGAGACGATCGAGAAGGCGGGAGAGAGGGTATCGACGCTAGCGGTGGAGTTGAAGACGGATTTAGAGCGCAGGATGGAGTGGACGCGCGATAGGGAGGAGGACGCGGAGGAGGTTGAACGCGTGGGCACGGACGCCGAGCGAGGGAGTCGAGTCAAGTTTTTGCTGGACACGCCGGAGAAGATGTGGGGTTTGCTCGAGGATAGCGATTACGAAAATGCGGCGGTACGATTGATGGCGGCGCAGGAGATGTTGGGGGAAATGACGAGCGGAAGGGGCGACGCGGAGGCGCTGTACGCGGCTTTTCCGGTTGCGCGCCAGCAGGCGATGGTTTTGAATAGTTTCAATGTGCACGTGTCGAAGCGCGCCCGAGCGGGGCTCGAACGACCGACGCTGAGAGCGACCGACGTGGCGAGCGCCCTCAAGTCGCTCATCGTGGTGGAGAAGTTGAGTAGGAAGCGTGCGCTGTTGCTGTTGTTACAGACGCGCCAAGCGCGAGTGCGAGCGTGTCTGCGAGACATCGCGACAGCGACGGTGACGCACGACGGGCTCAAAAAGCGACTGACCGCGGTCATGGTTGATGTGAAGAGCACGTTGAAAGTGTGTTTTGAAGTGTTCGCCGGCACGCAGCCTCTCCTTGACTCGAGCTCGACGCAATCTCTCACAGCGAGAGATTTATTTGAAGGTGTGTTCGAGCCTCAAGTTGAGTGGGAGCGTTTTCAGGCGGCTTTCACGGAGCGAACGAGCAGCAAATTCGAAAACGTGAACGAAGGCACCATCATGGACGCGTGTCTGGAATGGATGGATAGATTGGCGACAGATGTGTCTCAGCGGGGCGTCGCAGTGTTCGGGAGAATTTCCAACTGCGACGAACTCAGTTCACTTGAAGCCGACTTCTCGAGCGAGGACAAGGAATGGGACGCGACGTGCAAAGCGTTGTTCAGTCGTAGAGTCGATCTGTGGTCCATTTTATTTGAAAGACCGTGGCTCCAGCAAGGATTTTCACTGTTCAAGAAGTCGCTCACGTTCGCGCACCTCAAGCCGCAAATCGACACAGCCATCGTGGACGCGCGCAAGAAGAGCAGGTCGGATTCTCGCAAGGAATCCTCCATGTGGTCGAGCTCGAGCAGCTCCACGGACGAAATCGCGAACGTTCCGGACGATGTTAAGTGCGCGCGTGCGGTCGCGCGAGCGATGAACAACATCATGCTCTCCGTCAGAAAAGAAGCATTAATGCTCCAAGGTGTTCAACTGGGAGGCAACGTCGAGCTCGAGGGTCGAATCGCGCAATTAGAGCAGCACATTCACTCGTGCGCGCATAAGGGTCTGGTCGAGTTGGCGAAATCTCTCTCAGCGAAGGTTGAGTCGCACCCCAACGACGTGCCGTGCGCGTTGATGGTTGGTCATCTCGCGCGTGCCGTCATGGACATCGTCAAGGAGGTGACCGTGCTCCTCAAGCCCGCGAACTCGTGGCCAAAGTACAACGAATCGGCCGAGTTAATCATCAAACCAATTCGGACTTTGCGAGGGATGAAACAGCCGAAGGAGCCCCAAAACGTGAAGATTGACGAAGTCAAGGCGGAGTTCGAGCGAGCGATGAACGCCGGGTACAGCGTTTGGGTGAAGAAGTGCTCGACGGACACCGTTCGGGAATTTAAGGAAGCGCTGAGCGCAGATCATTCTTTGGCTTCGGACTCGACTCCTCCGCACTGGGAAGAGGTCGCCGATAAGACGGGCGATGGTTTGCAACTGCAACTGCCAGCGACGCCCTCCTCCTACGTTCTCACATCAATTCACGGTGTGCTGCAGGAGGTGCAACAGATCGGCGGCCATCTCTTGCCGGTATCGGCGATCCGCATGCTCGCCTCTTCACTCGTTGACGGTGTCTTGCAGGCGTACGCCGATAGTCTTTCACGCGGTCGCCGATCGGAGAAGGGCACGTTGCAAATGCTCATGGATACGAAGTTTGCCGCGGACGTGCTCTCACTGAAGGATGCATCTCGCCTGAGTGCGCTTCAAAAGCAGCTCACCGGCACGCTCGATCCGATCGATTGGGCGACGTACGAGCCATATTTGTGGGAAAACGAGAAGCGTGCGTACCGAAGGTGCTCAGTCTTGCTCGGAGGATTTGTTCAGCTGGCCGATTTGTACCAGGACACGTCGATCAAGCCGGCAGGCACCAAAGCGAGTGCGTCGGCGGTTAAGAAAGCGATGCCGCGCTTCACGTATCTGCCCGTCAGTCTGCCGACCCTTCGTGGCTTGAACGCTGAGAGCCGCAAGACAAAGATTGACTGGGGCGAGATCGAGGCCCAAACGTTTGAGGACGAAGAGCGCGAAGGCTTATTTTCATCGTTCAAGAACATCTTGCGCGAATTTGCTTAGACGTTGGTTGTTGTGCAACTGAAGGATAAAATCAAATACAAATGTTCAATGTGCTAAGTGCGGAGCCGCTTCGTCGTCAGAGACAGCGGCGAATTCAACGTGCGCCCCGCGAAGCTCCTCGTCGTCATCTGGAGATGTGTCGCGGTACAACTCTGGATGAAGCCTCTTGTTGAGCCCGGTTTTCTTGTACATGCTCTGACGCCAGCTCCCAAGGGGATCGACGCCCGCTAGTTTCGCAATGCGGTCGTTATACTCGAATTGCGCGTCGCCGAGTAAATGCGCGTGCCGTCTGGGAACGTCTCCCTTCGGTTCGAGCGTCACCTCGAGATCTGCGGCTCCGCAAAGCGCCTCCTCGCGACTCGGCATGGGCACGGCGCCAGAGAGCATGCGCGATATCCAGATGCTCTGTAATTCAAATTGCGGGAAAGGAACGACTTTCCACGGTAATCCAATGAACGATAACGACGGCGCGTTGGCCGAAACGCAGTGCTCGAACAGAGGCGCGACATGATTGTCTTCAACTGAGACGATATCCTTTGAAATAAACTCAAAGCGATACTTGTACCCGGTGCAATACATGCACGCGTCAATGTCGGTAACGACGGAACCGTCTTCGAATTCAACGCCCCCGTTGACCTCAAATCGCTTCACGTTCGGTTTACGGTACACGTTCCCACGCGCACCGATCCCCTCGGTCGATTTAGCCCAATCGGGATTTTGCCACGTGCGCGCCGAGAGGTACACCGCATCTGCGACGCTCGCGATCTCCCTGCTGAGATCTTCCCCGCTCGCCATGGCGCCTATGAGTAAAACTTTCTTACCCTTGAACCCGTCCGGGATCCTATAATTGTGACTGTGCGTGCGCTCTCCCGGCCACGTCTCCGCGCCGTCGAACTCTGGCACTCTCGGCTCGGAGTAGTGCCCGTTACACACAACCACAGCATCGAACATCTCCTTTCGCACCACCCCGCTCGGATCCTCCGAAGTCACCTCCCACGAGCTCGACCATCGATTCTCTTCCTCCTCGTTTGCTCGCTTGACGCGCTCGACAGAGACGACCAATGTGCCGAACCGCGTCACGGCGTCCAAGCCGAACCGCTCGGCGTACGCCTCCAGATATGCGCGAACCTCGCTATGTCCACAGAACCGTCGCGCGTCCCCATCGAACGCCTTGTCGCTCGCGAACGGAAATTCCTTGAACCCCATGACCTCTCGTGGGAGATTCGTTCGCAACGACGCGTACATCGACCCGTGCACTCTCCGTCTTCGCGCGTCCGTCCCGAGCGCGTCCGCCTCCGCGCTCGCGTCGTACCGCCACGTCCCCCCGCACCCGTCTCGCGAGCGTTCGAACGCGACGACGTCGTGCCCCTCGAGCATCATCGCTCGCGTCGCCGCCAATCCCGCCGCGCCCGCGCCCACGACGGCGACGCGCGCGCGTCGACGTTGATTTCTCTCGTCGTCGTTCGCTTCACCTCTCATCGTCGCGTCAACGCGTGTCATCGCTCGCGCGCGCGCGCTCGACGTCCCACCCTTCGTTTTAATACCGCGAGCGATCGTGGAGACGCGCGCGACGGACGCGCGCGCGCGCATCGACGACGAAGCGTCGCGCTCTGCGCACGACGTCACTTTTTCACGAGCTGTACGATGCGCACGGCGACGACGCGACGCGTCGCATCGCTCGCGACGATGGAGCGAACGACGACGCGCGGGCGGTCGCGCGCGGGCGTCGCGCGTGAGGCGGCGTCGTCCACGAGAGCGACCGGGAGCGAGGTGCGCGTTGAAGATTTGTTTCCGGAAGGCGAGCGACGAGGAATCATCCTTTACGACGGCGTGTGTAACTTGTGTAACGGCGCGGTGAACTTTGCGATTGCGAACGATGGGAACGGAGGTCAAGGAGGGTCCGTGCGGTTCGCGGCGCTGCAGAGCGAGACGGGACGACGGTTGTTGAGAAACGCCGGGCGGGACGCGGAGGATATTTCATCCATCGTCTTCGTCGAGGCGGCGAACTCGGAGGCGTCGTACGTGAAGTCCGAGGCGGTACTGAGGATAGCAAAGAGAATGCGGGCGCCGTTTCCGCAGCTCGCAGCGATAGGATCGGTGTTTCCCAGGGCGCTTGGGGATCTGGCGTACGACCTGGTGGCCGATAACCGGTACTTCATCTTGGGACGACGCGACGAGTGTCGACTGGGGGACGACGTGCACGACGATCGGTTCCTTCGGTGAGTGGCTAAGGATGAGTGTGTGTCTCTTACAAAAATTAGTCTCTAGCTTCGTGTTTATTGTTCTACCTTCGCCCGCGACCACCGCCACGACCGCCGCCGCGACCGCCGCCGCGACCACCGCCGCGACCGCCGCCGCGACCGCCGCCGCGACCACCACTCGATCTGGAAACGTATAAACCCCCAGTCTTGCCACTTCTGATGTCCTTGTCGAACGATGAGGGCTTGTAGCCAGACATGTCGTTCGCGCTGAACTTGTCGTTTCGCTTGGCCGTCTGCGAGATCAAAAAAAGTTGCGTGGTCAGTATCAGGAAGTGAACCAAAGAGGTTTAATGTTGAATGGATATCGGGCCCATGGTCTGTCCCGTGACGTAATTGCGACGACGCCGCACCCGCCTAGGCAATGGAATATGGTCCCGCTCCTCGGGAGGCGTCCTCGTGAGAGGGGCCTACGACCGATGAGTCTATATAAGGTGTTTACGCTGAGATATGCGCCGTGGAATTTTGAGGCGCCTCGTTGCGTAGACATATCGGGATGCGGGCAGCACCCCGATAGTCCACCTAAAGGTCGAAAAACAAACGCGGAAAAAGTTGATAAAACGCAAACGAGACGAAACTGTGACGATCCACTCACCTTTTTACGTCCTCCAAAACCAAACTTGGCGTCCCGCTCGGAGCGCTTGCGTTTGCCTTCTCCTCCGGCGCCTTCAAACGGAGCGTTACCGTCATCGGCGAACCCGCTCTTCTGTCGCTGCTTGCGCCACTTATCCAGGCTTTTGATCTGCGCCTTCTTGTCGAGCGTGCGCTGCTTGACTTTTTCGGCTTGCACCTGTTTGCCGTATCTCTTCGCCTCGCGCGCCTTGCGGCGCTCCTCGCGAACCTCCAACTGCTGTTGCTCGAACAAAAGCTCGCTTCTCACGCGCTTCATGTGCTCATCACTCTTCACCATCTCGGCGTAGTAATCGTCCGGCCTTCGCACTGGAATGCCGAGATCCTTCAACCTCCGCACGCACTCATTCGCGCTCTCGAGCGCGCGCTCATAGAAAAATGTCTCCCGACCCAAATCGTCGTTCACGTCCACCACGCGCTCGGTATTCGTCCCCGTGATCGCCATGTGATCGATCCACTTCGCCTTGTGCGTCCACTGAAAGTCTGTTTGCACGCACATCCGCGACGCTCCGAGTCAGTCTCTCTTCAAAGTCTCTCGAGCCCGCCCGCGTCGCGCGCTCGTTCCTCTCCGCCTCCTCTTCGCGCGCGTCATCCCTCGTCGTCGTCATCACGCACCCTCCAAAGAAGCTTTCAACCCCTCCGCGTTATTCACGTACGCCTTGGTCGTCGTTCCACCACTCCGCGCGCTCCTTCGCTCGCGCTCGATCGTCTCCAGCGCCGCCATCTCGCGCTCGAGCTCCGAATCGCTCTCCTCGTCGCTTCGCTCCACCGCCGCCCCCGCCGCGGTCTCGCGCGCGCGCGTCGACGGCATCACCCCGTCCGCTGCCGCCGTCGTCCGTCGTCGTCCATCGCCCATCACCCCTCGCGTCGTCGCGCCGTGCCGTCGCCGTCGCCGTCGCCGCGCCGCCGCCGCCCCGCGTGCACGCGCACCGATCGATCGCACCGGTCGACCGATCGATCGCACCGGTCGAGCGCACCGATCACCGAGCACCGATCACCGATCGAGCGCACCGAGCACCGATCACCGATCGAGCGCACCGAGCACCGATCACCGGTCGAGCGCACCGAGCACCGATCACCGGTCGAGCGCACCGATCACCGAGCACCGATCACCGATCGAGCGCACCGAGCACCGATCGCCTTTCGAGCGCACCGAGCACCGATCACCGGTCGAGCGCACCGATCACCGATCACCGGTCGAGCGCACCGATCACCGATCACCGATCACCGGTCGAGCGCACCGATCACCGATCACCGGTCGAGCGCACCGATCACCGATCACCGATCACCGGTCGAGCGCACCGATCACCGATCGCGCGGCGGTCGCGCGCGGCGACACTGGGCGCACGCATGGCGACGCGTCGCGCGCGCGTGGGATCGTTCGCGCGCACGAGCGAGGCGCGCGGACGGCGACTGCGGCACGCGACGCGCGCGTCGGGGGGGGGGGGGGGCGTCGAGCGCGATCGGCGAGGGGTGCGCGCGCGCGATGGTGACGCGGATGGGTGGCGGATGGGCAGACGGGAGGGGGTGATGGCGACGGTGGTGGCGTCGACGACGGGGGTGGTGGGACGGAGCGAACGCGCGGAAGCGTTCATTGAACTCCCGTCGAGGTTACACAATCGGTACTTCTTCGTGCGGCACGGAGAGAGCGTGCTCGATGAACGCGGGATTTTTCTGACGAATCCGAGTTTCAAATACGACGCGACGTACGGGTTGACGAGCGTGGGAAGGGAACAGATGCGAGAGGCGGCGAGAGTGATCGTGCAAAAGTACGATGGTGCGCCGTCGTGGGTGTACACGTCAAATTTCCAGAGATCGTTTCAGTCGGCGTTGATCCTGAGAGAGGAGTGCGGGTTGTTGTTCTCGCAATTGCGCACCGAGTTCAGCGGTTTGCTCGATCCGCGAAAAATGGGTTCGCTGGACTTTGGATCGCAATCAGCTTGGGAGGACGTGTGGGCGAATGATTTGGAAGATCCCAAGTCGACGCCGCCGCCCGTTCCGGCCAGTCTCCAACCGAGCGCATCGGTGGAGTCGTGCTTCGACATTTACAGGAGGGCGCAGGAGGCATTCACTCGACTAGAGGCGACGTATTTCGGAGAGGACGTAATATTGGTGTCGCACGCGGACACCCTGTCTGTGTTCTGCGCCGCCTTGAACGGAACCGAACTGGGAAGGCATCACGTAGATTATCCGTTTGCACTCGGCGAGGTGCGATGCGTCGATTTAACACGCGTGTCGCGCGACAAAGGTTTTTCGCCGACCGATCTTCGTGGGGACTACGCACCCGGGGACGCGGCGTCCAACTATTTATGATTTGCTTAGAATTTTTTTAAAATGTAGTGTACAGCAGCAGCGAAAATCATCTCAAATCTCTCAGCGTGAGCGTGGCGGGAGAACCTCCTGAGCCAACCTCCCGAGCCTCACCGATTCCTCTCGTCAGTCTCATAAGCTGTCTCCCCTTCTGCACGAGATCGTGCGCCGCGAAGTTTCTCGCCGGAAGCTTTCGCGCAATCATTTTTAGTAATTCATCAAACTTCTTGCACGCCATTATCTGCGACCGCATATCAATCAAGGCTGCGGCGACGATGTGCAGGAACAGTCTCGCACCCCCGCCCGCAAGTTTCTCGCCCTTTTTCACCGTCGGATCGAAATCACCGGCGGCGATCAACGCATCCCATAAGAGCTCGGTCTCTCTTTCGGCGAGTTCACGAGACATCAAAACGAGAACCGGCCTCACGGCGAATGTGCCCTCGTGAGCGTTTAGAAACTTCAAATGTTTGTGCATCGGGGTGTCCACGATCCTGATTATTTCACTCACCATTCGAAGACGATCGCTCACGCCCTCGGGACGTTCGTCACTCGAGCGCGCACTCTCATTCGGATTGATCAGAAAGTGACACCGATACGAACCGCCCATGAATTTCGCAAAGCACCAGAACGCCTCGGACTCGTCACTGATGTTCTGCAAGAAGACAGCTGCCAAGTCGCTCATTCCTTGTGTGTACCCTATCGCCGGATCCAAAATCGAATACGCCTCGAGCACTCTCGTCAGACGCTTGCGTTGCGCAGCCTGCCAGTCAGCCTCGTCATTTTCACCTGGCAGCGTGCCCGCCTCCCAATCCCGAGCGAACAACCCGTACGCCAGCGGCGTCCTCGGCGCGTCGTTCGCGATCACTTTCGACGCCTCCGTGAACGTCCCGAGATCGCTCGGAAGTTTCACCGGTCCCTTTCCCACCGGTTTCGAGAGCATCGCCTCCAATTCGGCGCACCGTCGACGAAACTCTCGATACCGCTCTCGTCGCGCCCGCTTACCCTGTTCGTGCTCCACGCTCGTACTCGACACCTCGCGCACGCCGAGCAACACCGGCCACACCTCAGCTCGCAGCGAGTGAGGAATGCCACCCTCCAAGGCCTCCATACGAACGTCCTGTAACTTCCCCACGCGTCCGTCCACGTCCAGCGCGCTGTACCACGCGTCGTGCGTCAAACGCTTGCTCTGTCGCTTCGACCTCGATCGCGACGCCGTGGACGCCAGGGCGAGCGCTAGACCGAGTCCTAAACCCCCGGCGACGAGCGCGCGCGTCATCGCGCGCTTCGACCGGGCGTCGGCGTCCATCGCGCGATGAATTCACAAGAACCCGATTCGACGCGTCGGCGTTGCGTCTATCGCGAGCGTTCGGCGCGTGCACGCGTCGATCTACGAAGGCGTGCGTTCGAAAAGACGTCTTTGCGATCGATCGACGCGATCGACGAGCGCGGAAGGACGTTCGATGAGCGCGCGTGGCGTTCTCTGACGGTTGGTCGTTATTTTTGCTCTGGCAAACTGCACGCGCGTGTACGAGTACGGGATACGAATCGTTACACACCTACGGCCGCACCGCGTCGGTAGGGCACGAGAGGACCTGCCCGTCGAGACGAATGCCTCCGCGCATCGGACCCGGTTCCACGGTGCCGAAGCGCTCGGCGAAAATGTCCGGAAGCGACAAGGCGCCAATGACAACCGGGTCAGGCGAGACCCAGAGGCGAACAAGATGTCGAGGTGTCTCGCCCTCGTTCTTGAACGCCGATCGAGCGTGAAGCGTCGTGTGATTGTGTAACCACTGAATGTCCCCGGGCTGGAGTGTCATGTCGAGACGCAACTCATCCGAACACGCAAGCGCATCCAAGTGGTCAAGTGCGGAGACCTGGGCTTCGGTGAGCGGGACGCCTGTCAGCGCCACCGCTGAATCGATGAATGATCGATCGTAGATGGCGCTCAATCGCCCATCGTGCACGTGAAAGACCGGCATGAGATACGTCGCTTCCTTTCCGACTGGAATCTCGCCCTTGCGAGACACCACAAACGGTTCCCGAAGCGCCGCCGCACTCGTCGGATGCCTCTTCACGAGTTCGTTCCAAATTGCCACCGAAGAAGTCACCTGACTATGACCACCCTCCGTAGCCTGACTCAGACACAACAATCCAACGATATCCGCTGAGTCCGTGTGATACGGCTGCGCAGCGCTCGTCGTGTACAGCCGAGTCAACGGATCCAAAGGATCGCCGCCGAGGTCCTTCACGTGACCGACGACGTGCCCGAGCTTATTCTGCGGCACACACGTCCCCATGTATCGCCCCATCGCATGGAACGCCGCGCACGCATCCCAATTCGTGTACCTCTCCACCGGGAATCGTCGCATCAGGGCGAAACCGCGCCCGTGCACAAGCTCGCGTCCCAAGCGTTGCAGTCGCGGCGCCAACCGCGGGAGCGGGAAATTCTCTCGTCCGATGGCGGTGATGTCCTTGATCCCTCGGGACTTGACACAAGCGAGTGCGAGATCGATCTCTTCGATGTCCTCTTCGCTCAGCTCGATTGTCCACGACGCGGCGTCGGTCTGGACATCGGGGCCGTACCAAGCACCGTCGAACGTTTCGAGCGTCGTCGTCGTCGCTCGATCGAACGCGAGCGAACGAGAACGAGTCGTTCGAAGCGTGCGATAACAATGACTGCGCGCACCTGAGGTGGAGGCTAAGACGCTGGCGCGAGAGAGAGACGCGGTGACATCACGCATGACGCGACAGTCACAGTGTGTGGACTCGTTGGTGACGCAAAGAGGGACGAAGAGGGACGAAGAGGCAGGTTTGTAACCAAACAAATTATCTTGTTTCACATGATGTTCTAATCTCCACTCACCAAGCGGGTTCTCAGACACGCGCTCATCCGGGACTGGTTCTAAACCAATCCGAGGCGAGCGCCCAAACTCACTAGAAGTCGCGTCGGCGTCGGCGCGACTCACTCAAGCCACCCTCTCTTTTACTCAGCCGCCGGAACGTTCGTGTAGACGTTGAGGGCGGCGTGGGAAACGAGCGGCTTGATCAAGCCCTTCGCTTGGAGAATGGCAATGCCCTTACGAGCGAGGGAGCAGGTGATGCGAAGGCGGTCGCAGAGCACAGCCGTGGTAATCATCTTGTACTTCGGCACCTCGGCGAGGAGCTTGTCGTACGTGGACTGCGAATTTGAAGCGATCGCATCGGTCAGTCTCGCTTCTCAATCGATCACGTCTTTCATCGATCCGCGACGTTTTCGCAGACGCTCGAACGTCCGTCTTTGCTCAGCATCCCGATCGCAACCTGACCTAGGGCTTGTCGCCCCAAGGCCCTGGACGAACGTTCAGCCGTTTCACGCGCTCGCGAGCGATCTCAGCGCACCTGTTCGAAGAGAACTTGGTTGTTAGCCTTCTCCTTCATCTTCCCCTTGGACCATTTCTGCGCGCGCGCGAACGAATTCGTCCTCGTCAGTCTTTCGAACGCGCGCTCCCGAAGCTCCTTGCGGGATCGTCCTCACGGCAGTCATCTCTCGCGCATGCCCTCGTCTTCGCCTCGACGCGCGATCGAGCGCAATGAAGATGCGATAAAGATTCGTCATCGCTTTCATCGCGCGTTTGATCGCGCGATCGATAGCACGTCACGTCGACGCGTCGCATCGACCGATCCCCGCGTTAGGGTCTCGTCCACCCGCGTCGCGCTCGTTGAATCATCTCTCGCCCGCTCGTACCTTCTTGCCCTTCTTACCGCCGGCGAGAGCCTTGGCGGCCTTGGCGGCCTTCGATTCGGGGGCTTTCGGCGGCATCTCTTAGCACTCGAGCGCGCGTCCACAAGAGACGGAGACGCGCGCGCGCGCGCGCCTCAAGTCCGACGGGAAAACAACCCATTTTGATGTTACATACTTTGAATGCGTTTCAGTTGATATGTCTGGACCCATACAAAGATGCATTGTAATCATATCTTTTCAATTGAACGAGCCATTCAAACGTCCACGTCGGCACCTCGCGCACGTCGTCACTCGCTCGCGTCGAACGGCGACGATGCCTCGCCGCGATCGACGCTCGAGCGTCACGAGATGGACGATCGTCTGTTTACTCGTCTGTTCGCTCGCGTCCGTCCGCGTGCGCGCGCGAACGGCGCCGCTGGAGCGTAATCGCCTGAGACTCGGTCGACCACGCGACGAGGCGACCGTTCGGGGTTCGAAGACGGACGGACGCGCGTCTGCGGCGTCGACGGCAGACCACGAGGGGCGGTTCGTCTCGGTGACGGAGCGCGCGCGCGTGGTGCGCGACGCACATGCGAGCTCGAACGCAAACGCGCTCGCGAGGCACTTCGAGCGGTGGTGCTCCGAGCACGGTTTGGAGCGGTACCTGAGAGACACGGAAGAGTACGCGAAGAGATTGGCGACGTTCGCGGAGAACGCGGCGTACGTCGTGGAGCACAACGCTCTCTACGCGATCGGTGAGGTCTCGCACTGGGTCGGGCTGAACTCGCTCGCGGCAACGACGAGAGAGGAGTACAGAGCGCTGCTCGGATACAAACCCGAGTTACGCTCGAGCGGAGACGCCGAGATGCTCGAGGCGACTTCGACCGACAAAGTGGAGCAATACAAGGCTTCTTGGGAATATGCAAGCGTTGATCCCCCGGAAGCGATCGATTGGGTCGAACTCGGCGCGGTGACGCCGCCGAAGAATCAAGGTCAGTGCGGCTCGTGCTGGGCCTTCTCAACCACAGGCGCCGTTGAGGGCATCACGAAGATTCGCACCGGAAGGCTCGTGTCGCTCTCCGAGCAAGAGATGGTATCGTGTTCGAAGCAAAACATGGGATGCAACGGCGGTTTGATGGACTACGCGTTCAGGTGGATCGTGAAGAACGGCGGCATCGATTCCGAGTTTCAGTACCCGTACTCCGCCGAGGCGCTCGCGTGCAACAGATGGAAGCTCCAGCTTCACGTCGCCACCATCGATGGTTTCAAGGACGTCCCTCCAGGCGATGAGAAAGAACTAGAAAAGGCGGTCTCGCAACAACCCGTATCCATCGCCATCGAGGCGGACACAAAATCGTTCCAGCTGTACGACGGCGGCGTGTACGATTCAAAGGAGTGCGGCTCTCAAGTCGACCACGGCGTGCTCGTCGTCGGTTACGGTTTCGACGATACGCACCATAACGCCACCAAACACCACAAACGACACAGGCATTTCTGGAAAGTCAAGAACTCCTGGGGCGGCACGTGGGGCGAGGGCGGATTCATCCGCATGGCGCGACGAATCAGCGATGAAACTGGACAGTGCGGCATCACTACGGCGCCGAGCTACCCAACGAAAAGCGCGTGAGAGGTGAAACGTGATGTGCGAAGATGTATGAACGATGTATGAATGAATGTACTCGATGCGATCGCTTATGATTCAAATTTAATGATATTTCCTTTGTGTGACTCACCGTTCACCATTTATTACACACCCACACAGCGCTAAAACTATATTTTTCGTTCATCTGCGAACAAAGATACAGCGTCGTCGTCAGTCTCGATATCGTGCACGTCAATCTGACTTCCTCTGTCGAGATGAAGCTCAGAAGGATCCATTGGTATTTACGGGATTCATCGTCGAAACTCTCCACGCTATGCGAAAACAAAGCGCGATCATCACAGCTTCCAGAGATTCGGCGGCTCAGTCCTATCGATCGTATATCACGGTTGATCAGGATTAGCATGAATTAATGACATCATCGCCGTACCGAAACCTCTCCCTTTCCGTCGCTCAAAAAAAACGCGCGTCTTCGTCGTGTCTCTCACCTCACCTCTCGCGAACGCGCTCGACCGAGCCCCCGGACGCTCACTCATCCAAGAAATCCATTCTCTTTAGGATATCCCCCTTCATCGCCTCCGCCGCGCTATCCGCCTCGCGCGCTCGAATGATCTCCGCGTTGTCCACCTCCACCAGACCCTCAACCGCCGCGCGCTCGCCTCGCTCGCCCCAGTCCCCCATGAGCACGACGTTCTCTCCTCGCACGATGTACAACCCAAGCGGGATATCGCTGTAGTTCCGTCCCACGACCACGCGCTCGACCGCGTCCTCGAGCACGATGTTCGCAAACTGATCGAACGATCGCAGCGTCCCGATGATGTTCGAGCCGTCTCGCAGCGCCACCAACAGGCGCGCGTCCAGGGACTCCACGAGCGACGCCACCGCGCTCAGGTGCCACGCGTCCGCCATCGTTCGCCCGCGTCGCGTCGTCCTGAAGCGCGCGGCGAAGCAATTTTCACCCAATCGAACCCTCTCGACCCCGCCGCGCTCGCGTGCCGTCGAAAGGTATTTTCCAAAGGCGCGCATCCGGGGATGACCGGTGCATCGAAAGGGACGCCACCGGCACCGTGCCTTTCGAACGCGTCGAACGCGCGACGCCCGGGACGGAGACCGCGAGCGCGCGACGGACGCGCGCGCGCGAGGTCGATCGAGTCGATCGAGGGCCGGAGGGGGGTGATGTCGCGCGTCGACGGCGCGGCGAGCGCGTGCGCCGCGCTCGTGGACGCGGGAGACGAGGATGCGTTTCGACGAAGAGCGCGAGCGGTGCTGGGAGGGACGGCCGTGGGAGAGAAGGACGACGCGTGGGCGGTTCGAGCGCTCGATGGGGGGCGGTGGGAGGGAAAGGAGACGACGGTGACGTCGGTAGGTGAGAGAATGAGCGAGAAGACGATATCTCGGGCGCGGGAGGAGGCGTTTGAGAGATTCCAGCAGAGCGCGGAGGCGGAGCGCGCGGCGGAGGCAGAATCGGAATCGGAATCGGAATCGGAGGATGAGAGGGTAGACGAGACGGAGGATGGCGATGAAATTGTGAAGAGCGGAGCGTTGGTCGAGGCGGAGACAGGAGAGAGTTTGATTTCGATCGAGGAAACGACGACGATGACCGTCTCGAGCGAGCCGGCGTCGGCGTTGGATCCGTTCGCGAGCTTCGGCAACATTACCATCGATCCCGCGCCCGCGGTGGAGCCAGAAGTGGTGCCCACGACGTTTGAAGAGGACGCCGACGACGAGTTCGGGGATTTCGTGTAGGAATGAATGTGTTTAATAATTCTAGACTAGTCAACAAATAACCGAGCTCAGCTGACTTTCAGCTCGAACGCAGGCATGGACGATGAATTCTGGGCGAGCAGCTCGTTCAAACGCGCCGTGTGGGTTTCTATGAGAGCCAATACGACTTTTTCTTTGAGCGCGATCTCCTTCTTCAGGTCCCTCATTTCCTCAGCATTTTTACTTTCCTGAGCTTTGAGCTTGTCACGCAAATCATCCGTGCCTTGGCTGCTGTTCAATACTTGATCCAGCTCTTCGAGGACGACCGGTTTGCCGAACTTTCGAATTTGGATCTCCGTATGTTTTTTCTCTAGATTCCTAAGATCGATCGTCTTGGCCGAACGTAACGCGACGAGCGATGTGTGCTCACGTTTCAAGTCCTGTTGCTGGCGCTTCAAAGTTTGCACTTCAGCTTCCCAGTCCGTCAACTGATTCTCGAGCTCTTCCAGTCGCGATTTCGAGAACACGATCATGTTGTCGTGATCAATTTCATGCAGGTCAACGCAGCTCACGGGTAAAATAAACGCCGAAGTTAATCCGCTCAGACTTTGCTGCTTCACTTTCTCAAATGCGGTGGCTTCATTCTCAAGTGCGCGAGCGCTTTCGATTGATACTCTCAATTTCTTCGTTACGGAATCATGCACCTTCTTTTTCGCATCTAAAGTACGTTGAACTTCAGATATTGAATCCATGGCTTCAATTCGGGACGAGCGAAGCTTGCAAACTCTTTCGTACACAGCCTCGTCGCATTCTTTTGGACATGCATCGTTGTCCTCTTCTTCGGACGAAGAACAGTACGAGCTATCGTCAAAGTCTGAATCTAATTCCGAATCCGAGTACTCCGAATCGGCTTGACTTTTCTCAGTTGTATCAGTTTCCGCCTTGGTCTTATTTGATATGCGTTTATGGAAAACCTTCAACAAAGCCTTTCGCACATTTGGCGGCATCACGATGTTTTCGAATGTGGTTTCAATATCTTTCTTCAACTTTTCCCTCTGTTTCAACCTCTCTTGCTCTTCACCAATTGAGAGTCTAGCCGTGTTCACGGTTGCCCGTGCCAGCTCCACCTCTTCGTTTGCTCGATCGCGTGCGCTTTCCATCTCCATATTCTTCGCGTCGTACTCAGGCATGGCGCGGAGTTCTTGCATGACAATGAGACGAGAAATCTTGGTCATCATACTGCGGACAACCGCAGTCGTCTTCAAGTGACACAGTGATACCATAGTTACTTCATCGATCTCTTCTGGAGCCCTACCAACGCTCTCGAGTGCTTGATTGAATGTGGAGAGGTGGTTGAAGAGTTTGTGTTCCACATGCCTCAATTCAGACAGTTTACCCTGCATTGTTAAATTTTCTTCTGGTGGCACGTAGGACTCCGGATCACATCGCAGAGGAAATCCACGGCTTAAGGGGTCTCGTGTGGATGGTTCTGACTCGATCTTGTTCGTCTTGAAAGGTTCGGCATTCAGTAAACTCTGCAACATTTTGGTTCTTCGAGCTCTTTCACAGCGTCGACGAGCCTCAGAACTCACATCTGGTACTTGTGCGAGTCGTTCATCGTCAAGGCTTTCAGTTGTAGCAGCAATTCGTTCTATCGCGTCCTTATCGATCGATATAGCTTGTATTTTGAGCGCTTTCTCCTCTTCTAAATCTGTTGCTGCATCGCATTCCGTTTGCAGAGCAAACGATGAGCACTGCAAATCTCCGTTCGAGGAAGATACAGTGCAAGGAAGCGCTTTTAATTTATCGAAATAAGCTGTCTGCAGCTGTGTCGACAGCGATTCAGCTCGCTCCATGGAGGACCGAATCTTATCATGAGCCAATGTTAACGATTGCAACGATTCCTCATGAATACGCTGAATTTGTAAATCATCTACCAAAAGATCTCGTCCCGACAGGCGCATGTCTTTTGGGAGCTGTTCATTCTCGTGTAAAATCATAGATAGTTCGTCACGGCAGAGTGTCACCAAGCATTTCAATCTTATCACCGCCGCAGCCTCGTTCTCGTTCAATTCCATTCGCCGTTTCTGTTGCAACTCTTCCTCCAGAGATTTTGATGACGTCAAATCAAGACATTCGGTTTCAGAATGAATTGTTCGCCATTCAATCGGCTGAAAGATAGACGCTGAGTCTGTATTCATTTCATAGAGCTCAAAAGTCCCGTCGGAATCAATAACAACGCTGTGTGAACCATCATGCGTCAGATACACGTCGTGTTGATCATCGACTGCGGCGACTCGAGCACGTTTCACCACGCGAGGAGACACAGAAATTTCGTATGTATCCGTACAAGAATCAAACGCAGCGGATGGAACGTCGAAGAAGTAGGTATCGTCAGCGATGTGTGCGCCGAGAACGGTTTCAGATTCCCAAAATACACTCGACGACAAAGCCAGTCGCACGAAGCCGATCGGCTCAAATCGGAACGAATGCGCCACGCGGAACACGTTCAGAATAAATGTAGACCCATCGATTGCGTAGATTGCCAAACGTTTGCCGCTTGAACTCCAGGAAAAGGCGTTTATAGCGCGCGAATGCGGCTTCAAGGTGAGTGTCAAACACCAGCACGTCAAGTTTTGCACTAAAATACGGATCGATCCGTCGTTGAAGCCGACGATGACAGAACGACCTTCTTTATCGATACTCAACGGCACGTTCGTGAGAGCTGTCGCAGCAGTTTTGTATCGAACTTTGTACGAAAGAGTACGTGATAGATAGTTGTAGCAGTGCACGCTTCCAACGTCATCGCACGTGACCAAGTGCGTACTCGTCAAAGAAGCTTCACAACCAGTGATAGCACCACTATGCGCAGAAATGATTGGTGTTTCTGTATCATTGTCCCAGGAAGTCACTAGTCCTCGACCACAATCTTGAATCAGGAAAGAAGTGTCCAACGTGCAAATGTGTCGAATGTGTGCTCCATCATACATTTGAGTTGCCACAGGTAGTACATAGACCGTGCCTTTAACGCCAGTCGAGATTGCCTCTTGAATATTTATCACACTCCATTTTCGAATACAACCGTCCTCGCCCGCCGACAAGATGGTCGAATTGCCATCCATGTACGCAATTGTCTCGATTGAGCCAGCATGACAGTTATTGGCGCCTGATTCAGATTTGCACATGATTTTCAACTGCACGCGACCGTCGACCCAGATAAGCAGAGCTCCGTAGTCCGTACTCGTAATCATCATATCGTAATATGGCAACTCCAAAGCGCCGGTGATGTTGCACAGAGGCTCGCCGTTGAACTTGCCTAGCGTTCCTTGCAATTTCAATCCGGTGAATGTTTTGACCATGCGCCAAAACTGGATATGACCGGCGCCGTACGTCACGAGTCGTTCGGAGCTCCCCCCGCGAAACGATACGTCGTACACTTCTTGTCCATGTGCCTTCGCGCGAAGGACGATGGCTCCCATCTCTAGGTCCCACAGAGTGAGCCAATAATCGGGCAGTCCACTGACGCTTGCGATGAGCTTTCCATCCGGAGAGAACTTCCCGGTCGTGTACACCGCCTCTGCGCCGCCATGAATCGTGCTTTTTAGTTGGAGGGATGGATATGAGTGTATGCATATTCGTGGTGACTCCCCGTTTTCCCCGACAGCGATGAGTGTTCCTTCTGGATTTGCGGCAATGAATCCGATTTCGCCTCGTTCACCTGTGCGCACATATTTCTGCTCACGCGTTCCCAGATCCAACACCGTCAAGAGATTCCCGACGGCGTACGCCACGACTGAATTGCGAATTTTGATCAAATTTTGCCGTCGTCTGAAGTCAAATCCAAAGCTTCGCGCCAGGCGAGCGCTTTTAAGAGACTTATTTTTAGTCATGGTTCCAACAGAAGCGGCGCGCTCAGACAGACAGACTCGCACGGACGTGACGGGACGATGCGCGGACGACGAGATGAGCGTTCGTCAAAGCGGCTTCGATCAAGAATTTTAGTTCGAGTCGTCGTCGTCGCGCCCGAGCGATAAAAAATGATGTGCGCATGGTATCACAAAGTTACTTCTCCATTTCCGAGTTGAGCTCGGCCAATTTCTCTTGCTGCTCCAAAGCTTGCATGGCCCCGATCGCGCCCTTGATGTCACCGTCCAAGAACGTCTGAAGCGGGAAGTTGGTGCCAATACGGTGGTCGGAAACACGGCTATCCTTCCAGTTGTAAGTTCTAATCTTCTCAGAGCGGCTTCCCGAGCCAACCTGTGATTTCCGCTTGTCAGAGATTGCCTTTTGCTGCTCCTCAAGCTGGATTTCGAACAGCTTGGCGCGGAGGATCTGCATCGCACGAATGCGATTCTTAAGTTGTGTGCGTTCTTCGGTGCAGAAAACGCGAATACCGGTGGGCTTGTGCATCAAATCGATCGCAGTTTCAACCTTATTGACGTTTTGGCCGCCAGCGCCGCCGCTTCTCGCGGTGGAGATATCCAAGTCCTTCTCGTCGATTTGCACTTCAACTTCGTCCACCTCGGGCATGATCGCTACGGTGGCCGTCGAGGTTTGGATGCGCCCCTGCGTTTCCGTGGCCGGAACGCGCTGTACTCGGTGCACGCCCGCTTCCCACTTGAGGTTGCTGTACACATCAGCACCCTTGATTTCGGCAACTATTTCCTTGAACCCGCCCGCATCCGCGGTGTTACTCGTCACTACCGTCGCCTGCCATCCCTCACGCTCGGCGAAGCGCATGTACATGCGATATAAATCCCCCGCCCAGATCCCCGCCTCGTCCCCGCCCGTGCCCGCGCGAATCTCGAGCATGATATTCTTCTCGTCCAGAGGGTCCTTTGGCAGCAGCGCCAAAGTCATGTCCTCCACGAGCTTATCGCTCTCCTCCGTCAGCGCATCGATCTCCTCTCGCGCCATGGCCACCATCTCTTCATCCCCAGCCGCGTCCTTCACCATCGCTCGCGCCTCCTCGATCTCATCGACGCACGCCCTGTACCGCGCGTACAAGTCCACGACGTAGTTGAGCTCCCCGCACGCCTTGCTCAGGCGTTGAAACTCCTTCGGATCACTCGTCACCTCCGGGTCCGCCATGCGCTCGTTCAGCTCGGCGTGCGTCTTCGCCGTCGCCTCGAGCTTTTTGATCAAAAATTCCGGAACCTCCGTCGCTCGCGTGATCGCGCTCGACCCTCGCGAGGGCGCGCTCGGGCGTCGGCCGCTCGCTCGGCGGCGACCTCGATGGATTCGCGCGCTCGCAACACCGTGCGCGCGCGCGACCGACCGCGCGAGCGGCATGACGGGCGTGTACATCCACGAACGCGCGCGACCGACGCCGCGACGTCGAGTGCGTCGTCGTCGACGTCGTCGTCGGGAGCGACGTCCGCCGGGTGCGCGCGAGATAACCTAAACCCTGATCTAAACCCTGGTCAAGGTGCAAAACGAACGCCCCGCGCGCCGAGTCAACGCCGAGCGATGCCGCGAAAGACGACGGAAGCGCGCGCGCGTGGGTCGACGATGACGATGACGATGCGTGGAATCGACGCGACGACGAACGGCGACGACGACGACGTGAACGAGACGGAGGAGGTGCCAACGGTGAGCCTGGAGCTGTACGAAGGAGATTTCAACGAGTTCGTCGTTCGACTCGGTGAGGCGTACACGAAGTATGGGTTCGTGATCTTAGAGAATCACGGGATCCCACAGGAGATGATCGAGCGAGCGATGGGGCGATCGCGCGCGTTCTTTGAGTGTGATGAGGTGAAGAAGAAGAAGTACACGCTGCGCGGGTTGGGCGGCGCACGCGGATACACGGCGTTCGGGGTGGAGCAAGCGAAGGGGGCGAGCAAGCCGGGTGCGTGCGACCGATGTTTCGGTGATACGTACATGATATCGTGTTCAACGACGAATCGAGAGATGAAGACGCGTTGAGAGCGAACGAAGACTGACGGATAAAGACGACTCGTACGCGCGCGTAGACTTGAAGGAATTTTGGCACCTCGGACGCGACTTGCCGCCCGGGCACAAGTACGAGGCGAGCATGCCGCCGAACGTGGACGAGGTGGTCGAGGTTGAGGGATTCAGCGAAGTCAACAAACAAATCTTCAACGCGCTCGACGCTCTGGGTAATCGCGTCCTTGAGGCGTTGGCGGTGCACCTGGAGCAGCCGCGCGATTACTTTTCGGATAAGACAAACGAAGGCAACAGTATTCTGCGAATCATCCATTACCCACCGATTCCACCGGATGCCGCGGGAAGAGTTCGTGCCGGTGCCCACGAGGACATTAATCTCATCACGCTCTTGCTCGGTGCCGACGAGGGAGGGTTACAAATCTTGCGCAAGGATGGGAAATGGCTTGACGTGAATCCGCCCCCCGGATGCGTCACGTGCAACATCGGCGACATGCTCCAGCGGTTGTCCAACCACAAGTTGCCGTCGACGACGCACCGCGTTGTGAATCCACCGGTGGAACGCGCTCACCTTCCGAGATTTTCGATGCCATTCTTCTTGCATCCAAATCCAGATTTTGTCATCGAAACGCTCGAGTCGTGCATCTCGGATGAAAATCCCAACCGCTACCCGGAGCCCATTAGCTCCGACGACTACTTGCAGGAGCGCCTGCGCGAGATTAAGCTGAAATCTTGAGAAAGCCGTGAATGAGTATGAAAAAATGGACGACGAGTGAGCCCTAGAAACGATAGGATTACAATTTTTTTGTGAAGTGAATGTGCAATTGCAATTTGAATTTCTACTGATTATACACCGACCGATCGCAGTTCATCGCTTTCGATGAGCAAGCTTTCTATTTGTGCCGTCTCCGACGAATCGACGGCGCGACAAACGTGCGTTTCAATGTCGAACTCGTCGAGAAATTCTCTGCACGTGAAGAGAAATTGCTCTCCATCCAATGAGATGCGAGACAAACATTTATCTACGTTTGATGTTTGCGGCGAATCGCTCGCGAGAAATTCGTGAACGATGCGAATCAGTGCAGAAGTTACCTCGTTCTCGTCGCAGTGCTTGATTTCATACGAGGTCGAGCCTGCATCCTCCCCGGCATCTTGTATGACTCGAAAATCCTCAAAAACTCTCTCCACACCTTCCTCCGATGAACACACGCGCGAAGTCCACAGACTCTGATCGCCGCCGTCGAGCAGTCGTAACGCGATATCAATCTGCTTCGGAAAGGATTCTAGGACTACGAGAATCGAATTTTCGTACCGAACGAGCAACCCATTTCCGATGCTGGAGACCCTCGCTTCGAGCTCGAAGACACTAGAAAGAAAGTCTCCTCGCTCGTGCGTGAATTGACAAAACACGAAAATTCGGCACAGGTAGTACGCCGGGTCACTGTCATCGTTGCGAGCGAGGCGTTCCTTCGCCGACAGGATTTCTGCAACATCGCACTCGAAGGAGACCATAGTTGTCTTGCGCCTAAAATAACTTGGCACTTGCTCAGCGCGGAATTATGAACACTCTCTCACTCGGCTTTCGATTCCGCAGCGCGTGAAAGTAATACACGTCGCCCTGTACCTTTCCAAAATCTCCTTCGAACGTGGTGTGAAGCTCTGGAACGGTAAGCAGCTCTTTGAGCGACTCGTTTGAGGTGTCCAAAAATGCTAACACGGACCTGTGCGAATCCACTGACAGCCATAAAATATTCCTCTCGCTCATCTCATCCTCGTCAAATCGAACGTTTGAGTCGACTTGACAGTGACCTAGATCGACATTGAATCGTACTTCATCCCTGGCCGGATACTCCTTCGCGTGGAAAAGCATTCCAAGCCGCCTCGCGGGTTCATACGTGAATGCGTGCGCGTGGAACAAATCGAAACGGCTCAGCGCGATCCTCCCATCTGTCTCTGCCTCAATCTTTGCGAACAAAGTCGCTATGAAGTCGTTACTCTTTCTACACCGCATCCTTTGCCCCGTTTTCTCGCTCGCCAGCGCGCACGATCGCCCCGCCGATCCCTCCACCGCCGGCAACGCGCGCCGCCGCCAGTGACACGCCTCCGCGAGCGTACACACGTTCGTCAGCGCACTCGGCGCACTCTGCTCGATCGCGACCACGCGCACGCCATCGAGGACGTCTCCCGAGAGTAAAGCGCGCACCAAACTCGACGCGCGTGCCCTCCGCGCGTCGTCGTCGACGGAACCGTGCGCGCTGACGATGACTCTGATTCTGTGTCGTGCACCCCCGTCGACGCCCGCGCGTCTTCGCACCGACGCGCGCGATCGCGGTAACGTCACCGACACCCTCGATGGCATCAACACCGCCCCCGCGCGCGTACTGGCATGGCGAGCGATGCGTCGCGCACTGACGGTTGCGCGCGAGAACGCAACGAACTCGACGGCGCGCGAGGACGCGACGCGCGCCGAGGACGCGGGGACGACGAACGATCGCGCGGACGCGCGCGCGCGATGGCGACGCGGACGCGGACGCGGACGCGCGTGAACGCCGCGACGACGACGACGGTGAAACGAGCGAATGAACTCGACGACGACCGAAAGTCTGCGAGCGACGACGACTCGGACGACGCGTTCGAGCGAGAGGTCATGGCGGAGATGACGGAGGTGGCGACGGAGGAAGACGATGACGATGAGCGCGCGGCGAAGCGCAGGCGAGAGTCGGCGGGCGCGGCGGCGGTGGAGACGGAGCGCGCGGTTGGGGCGTTCGGGCAGCTTCCGGAGGACGTGACGTCGCTCGTCTTGCGTTTGCTCGCCCCGAACGAGCTGTGCGCGCTGGGACAGACGTGCAAGCACTTTAAAGCGCAATGCGATCGGGATTTTTTGTGGCGGCAGTGCTTCATCGAGCGGTTCGGTAACGTGAAGCAGGCGCGACAGGCGGGCGTGAAGAAGCTTTATTTCCTCTACGACGCGTTGGAAATCGATCGGGAGAGACGAAAGGCACCAGCTGGGTTCGAAAAAATCTTCGTCGAGGCGTTCGCTGCGAAACGGTCGCAGGTGTGCGCCAACATAGCGCCGCTGTGCGAACAGGTGGCGACGGATCAAGTTGCGCGTGAGTGGAAGAGTCATAGGAAATTTTCACACGACGCCACGCACGTATGCAGTCGGCGCAACGGTTGCTCCTATCAAGAGTTACAGGGTAAGGTGTTCGTGTGCGAGCGCACGGGTAAGGTTCACGTGTGCGACGACACGTGCCGGGAGCGGCAGCTGGACGAGGACTCGGGCACTGAAATTTGTCAAATTTCAGGCGCGTCCTTTGACACCGTCTTGCCGGACGAAGACGACGAGGACGAACAAACCGTCGCCGAACAGGAGCAGCAATACTTTGAGAAGGGATACTTCGGTCGAGCCTTCGAAGTGGGTTACGGATGCGACAACGAGTTAGAGCTCCAAACGGCTCTGTGGGGAGGACCAACGCGAGGCGGTAATTGACGGTTTCGCCGACAGCTGACAGCCGAGACGCTCAACACCAAGTCGATCGTAGAATTAGGATAGAATTTTGTCTGTACAGCACTGCATAAAATGTTTTTCACCTGCGCACGCTGCGTCGTCGAGAGAAATCGCGCATTCGATATCGCATCCACGCCCGCGCGTGTCGTTGAACCCGTCCCGAAACGATTGCAAACGTCAATGCTCGGCGCGCGTTCGTTCACATCGCCCTGTTTCCTCGTCCGTCGACGCGTCATCATGAGCGAGCTGACGAAAAGAAAAGAGCGTCCGATCACGAACTTCTTTAAGCCAGTGAACGCGACCGCGAAGTCCGCCGGCGACGAGACGGCAGGCGATAAGACGACGTCGAACGGTTTCGTCCCGCTCAAAAAGTTGAAGGAAAATATGCCGAAACTGGATGCGGATGAACTTTCACCGTCGCCGTCGCCGAGCTCGTACGCGACTTTGATCAAGGATGAATCATGGCTCGACGTGCTGCGACCGGAGTTCGCGAAGCCGTACTGGAAGACGCTGGAAAAGTTTTTGGAGAGCGAGGAGAAGGCGAGCGCAAAGGTGTTCCCGCCGAAGGAGTTGGTATTTAGGGCGTTCGATTCGTGCGCTATGTCGGGCGTTAAGGTGGTGATCATCGGCCAAGATCCGTACCACGACGTCGGTCAGGCAATGGGATTGTGTTTTTCGGTGCCAAAGGGGGTGAGGGTGCCATCCAGTCTGCATAATATTTACAAAGAGCTGCGCACGGATTTGAACTGTAAAATTCCACAGCACGGAGACCTGACGCAGTGGGCAGAGCAGGGCGTGCTTCTGCTCAACGTCAGCCTCACCGTTCGCGCGCACCAGGCGAATTCGCACTCTAAGAAGGGTTGGGAGAACTTCACGGACGCCGCGATCCGAGAATTGGCGAAAAACAGGAAAGGTTTGGTATTTTTATTGTGGGGCAAGAATGCGCAGGACAAGGAAAAGTTGATTTCCAAGGCAAACGACCATTTGATTCTGAAGTGCGCGCACCCGTCGGGTTTATCGGCGCACAGAGGTTTTTTTGGCTGCAAGCACTTTTCTCAGTGTAACGCGTTCATCGAAAAGAACGGTGGAACGCCCATCGATTGGCAGATTGAAGGTCCGTACAGAACGTGAACAACTAGTCGCGCATTGTCATTTCAAAAACATAATTTCTATACCTGAACTAATCCTTTCTTTTTCATCTCGTCGACTATATCATTGAGTTTCAACGATATATCGACCACCTTCTCATCCCATTCGACGAGCGGCTCGGAGTCACCGCCAAAATACACGATGCGGTCCACCTGGTCAATGCTCCCCGTCAACCTGTCGTCTGAAATCATCTTCGCCGCCGCCTTCTCCGCCTGGACATCACTCACGCCTATCAACTCACCGAGTTGATCAAAACCTATGTTATTGTACACTCCACTCATGCTAACCAAGTTGTGCTCGATCACCGCTCGTTGGAGCGATGATAATTCGCCGTCACGTGACTCTAAGTGGTGCGCGCTGAAGAGCGCTCGCATTTCTTCAACCTCGTTCGCTCGCAAGATGCGATCGAAGTAAACTTTTTCGATGAACGGGAAAATTGCCAAATTGGCGTAACTCTGATCCTTGTACATCGTCTGAAGCATTCTCGATTTCTGAGGCCCCTTGGGTGCGAGGAACAGGCACACGGCGGCGCGCGTCAGCGTCTCCTCAACCGTCTGCTTGTCCAGGCGAGAAATTTCATTGTAACGAACAGCGGCGTCCATGTACTTCCCCATCCTGTCCAAAATTCCCCCCCAGCACGAATGATACCATCGCATGAGCGCATCGTTCTGCTCCTCCGCTCGACACTCCGCGAGCAGCATCGGCGTCTTGTTCACGTGCTTCTCCGCCTTGTCCAACCGATTCGCCTTGACGTACGTATCCGTCGTCTTCAGCGCGATCTCCAACTTCGAGAGCGCCCCCACGGGCCCGCTCTCAATCTCCGCCAAGACGTCTCCCGCCTCCTCAAACCTGTCGTTCTCGATCAATCGCGTCGCCAGCGCGTCTCTCACCGGCCACACCTGTCGCTCAAAGGAAGCCACGCGCGGCGTCGTCTTCTCCAAGACGCATCTCGCGAGCGCGCGGTGCGTTTCGAAAGGCAACCTCGGTAACGCCTCGACCAAAATCTCGATCATCGCTCGCGATATCGTCAACGGCACCTCGTCTCCGCTCACGTGCTCGACGAACGCCACGAACGCCCCGGCATCGCCCGTCGTCGTCAATCCATCCACCACCTCTCTCGCGATCGCCTCGTACGCCCTTACTCGTCCCTCGAGGTCCGAGGACGTCGGCGCTGACGACAGTCGAACCTCCAGCTCGCTCGCACGCATGTCGTCCACGCGCGGCGCGCGCGCGATATGCCGTCGCGCGCGACGCGATGGGAGACCATGCGATGGGGACGACGCGGACCCTCGAGCGCGCCACGCGCGGCCTCGCTCAGCGTCGCCACACGTCGAGGCGAGCGATCGACGCGCGCGCGGGCGCGTCGAGGGAGGCGTCGATCGCGCGCGAACGCGTCGACGTCCATCGCGTCGTCGTTGACGACGTGGGCGGTGGACCGGACGCCGGACGAGCCGCGGGTTCGCGGCGCGACGATGACGGTCGAGCGCGTCGATGGCGACGCGTCGAGGCGAGGGAAACGGGGGGGGGGTACGGGCGCGACGATGGATGCGCGGTCGTGGACGCTGGTGATGACGATGATGGCGCTCACGTGGGGGGTGAGGATTGAACGCGCGGGCGCGGGGAGCGCATTCGTGCAACAGCCCGCGGTGGGCGACGTCGGGTTTCACGGCTCGCCGGGACCGGTCGGTCGAGTTGGGCACGCGTCGGTGGTGACGGATGACTCCAAGGTGTTCGTGTTCGGCGGACGGGCGAAGTCGTCGAACGGGGATCTGTTGAACGACTTGTGGCTGTACGACTGGGAGACGGGCTCGTGGGTGTCGTACGTCCCGAACGAGCTGATGTGCGATCAGTGCTCGACGTGTCAAGCGACCGGGTCGACGTGTCACGATTGGACGGGATTGCGTCCGTACACGTCTCCCCAGCTCGCGGAGGGAAAAAATAGACAGGATAGACCGATTCCTAGCGGGCGAGTGCACCACTCCATGGCGCTCGTTCTCAATCGGGACACCGGCTCGCGAGAGACGGTCGTTATGTTTGGTGGAGAGAGCATCGACTGCACAGATTATTGCGACGATCTGTGGCATTACAATATTCCAAATAATTTGTGGACGAAGAAAGAGTTTACCGCCGGTGATGAGGTTCCGATTAGACGATGGAAGCACGCAATGACCGATTACTACGACGCAGTGTTCATGTTTGGAGGACATTCGCAGAGAAAGCAGACGACGGCCACGGCGATGGCAAACATCAGCTCAGATGAGGCGTTTTACTACGACACCGACGCCGTCTTTGAAGACGACAACCCGCTCTTCTTAGATGACCTCTGGGTGTACAATGCCACAGAACGCGTTTGGGATCGGCTCGTGCCCCAGTGCAAGGTCTATGACGACGTGCAAGGCATCATAAACTCGACTGCCTGCACGAACACGACGCTTGAACCTGATGGCACGGCAGAGCGGGACGTTTATGGACCGCGTCCACGTCTCGGTGGAAGCCTTGTCTGGTTGCACACGAACTGTAAGGATTGCGTATGGGGTCGCAATAGCACATCAGACGTAGACTATGACTTCATTTATCTCTTCGGAGGATTCGCCTACGGAGGCTCTTCAAACTACGAGGAGCTGTACCCGACGGGTGAACAGGATATGTATCCATCGCTGGAGTCGAAGTATTTCTTGAATGACGTTTGGAGATATGACATAGCGGAGAACACATGGGAGGAGCTGAAGCCGCTCACATCCAACCCACGGCGACCCGTACCAAGGCAGGGACACTCTGCCACTGTTGTAGTGAAGGATGGACAGTCGATGATGCTAGTTCATGGTGGACAAACTTGGCAAGACGAGATTGGCGACTTTTGGCAGTATAACTTCTCCTCAAACGCTTGGATTGAGATAGTATCAGAAGAGTATCCCTCGCGGCGGTATGGTGGAACTATGGTCCAAGTTGGCCAGGCATCCGTGACGAGATCGGGGACGACACGCCAATCCGGTAGAGCGCTCATATTTGGAGGACACGGTTGTTTAAAAGGTAAATCGTACAGCGAGGCCGCAATCGCAGCCGCGACTGCCGGAACGGGAACGGGAACTTCTGCTAGAACTTACGTCAATGAAGTGGGTGAAATCGTGAACTGGGCAACGAAATATTCAGTGAACGCAGAGGGGAAGCTCGTGGTGGATGGAGCTGTCCTCGAGGACGCCGGTGATCCGGTCTTCTTAGCCGCAACGGATGGTACGACGGAAGTACAGACTGTGACAGGGTACGGCGAAACAATTTGTACTGAGATACTTTCTGACTTGTGGCAATATCTTCCTGACGAGTGCCCAAATGACTGCTCTCGAGCTGGCACGTGCAGTTTCAATGTGTGCATATGTCGAGGTTCGTTTTACGGTGCTGATTGTTCAGAGCCGTATTGTCCTGATTCAGAATGTTATTTCGATGACGTGGCTCGAGAGATGGTTTGTACTCACTGCAACGGTCGAGGTGAATGCGTCGATGGCACGTGCACCAACTGCGAATATCCATCGACAGGCGAAAGATGTGAGGATATTGCTGGCCTTTGTCCGGCCGACAACTGTACGTGTTTTGATAGCGTGGGAGCGCCTCGGCCGGCAGACTGTGAAGAAACGGTCACGGAGTGCGAAAAGAACCCGTCAGGATCGAGTTCTCGTACTCAAGACTGCTCTGGTAACGGATACTGCATCAATGGAGTGTGCGAATGCTTCCCAGGCTTCACCGATAGCAAGCTGGTTATCAAGTCGGGCGATGTGTTTATCCCCGCTCGAGACTACGTTAATAACACCGTGATCCCTGCTCCAGAGTGTGGCTACGATGAGACCGCGCCCAATTTGTACAATCCTGCGTTGGTGACCGATGCGTGCAAACCGAAGTTGTATGCGGACTGCGGCGACTTTCTTTACCAAGTGGCTGGTGCAAGCGCTGGACATGTGCTCATCACCGTCCTAATATCCACGTTTGTGCTCGAAGTCTTGCTGAATCTATCTTAGCAACCGGTGTAACTTAAAATAGACTAGCCGAACAAGATGGTACACTTTCACGGCCACAGCGCTCCCACCGACCGCAGTGTGGGTCGGCGGCGACGACGACGATGGATGAAATCGCTCGACGATAAACGCGGTGGATTGTATCCGACGTCGCCGGCGATGTTCGCCGCGCTCGACGACGAGTGCGGCGCCAACTCGGCCGAGAAGCTGGAACACCGCGACGTGGAGGCGCTCCTCCGCTCCGAGCACGACGGCGATAAGACGCGCGCGGTGGACGTGCGAGACATAGCACGACGGGTACAGACAACGAATAGAAGACTGAGCGCGGACATCGCGGCGACAATAAGCGGTGAGGTCGAGGAGAAGCTCGTCTTGGCTGCCGCGCACCTCTGGCGGGCAAAGATGCACGTGCAGCTCTCTCAGCTCTACTCCGAGAAAGCGTGGGACGCGAAGAAATTTCCGCGCAAGTTCTTCTTAAAATACAGGGGGTTCGGCTCGACGCATCAAAGAAGCGATCTGGCTGATTTTAGAAAACTATATCTGCGCTGCGCGCTGTCTAACGCCGAGCGCGCCGTCGAGCTCGCGCCATTCTCGTATGAGTGCGTCATGTTCAAGTCGTGTATATTATGTTTGCTAATTGGTTTTGGTGGTTATGTGTGCGACACGTACTGCGAGAGCGCTCTGATGAGCTGCCGCAGAGCAATGACGTTGCACCGCATGCCACAGATTGCCGACGACAGAGAGCGGAGCATCCTATACAACTCTGTACAAGATCGATCGGGTGCGCAAGCCGGCTCTGGGCGCTCAGAAGCTCGAATGAGGTCTTTATGGGACATGGCCGTCTTTGCGGCGCACTTGGTCGCCAAAAAGCGTGGGGTCTGGGATGCGGACACGCTCTGGGCTGACCGTGGCACACACGGCGATGTTAATCCAGCTGAACTGCCAGAGAACTCACTCGACGAACTCGTGGCGTGGAACATGTGGAACACGGACTGGACGGGATTAGGTGAAATGGATCGTCTTCAGAATATCCTCAAAGACGGTTAGGATTGGCGAAGCATAGTTTTAGACTCTTTTCATAATAGCACGAACAATTAATTCTTCATTAAATCTGCGTAGCTCGTTTCGATCGTCACTCGCTTACAACAGCACAATTCTCGCCCGCGGCTCGTCATGTCTTGATGTATATTTTCCCAATCGAATGCGATCGTACGAACATCGATGGATGCTCGACGCGCCTGTGCTTCGAAAATCTGACGGTGCTCGAAGTAATAATTAATTAAAATAATTGGTTGTGAACGTTAAGCACTTGCATGTATGGTCGTAATGGACTTGTGACAACGTCACAATTGAGTGATTCATCTCCAGAACTGCGTCAGCGCGCTGCTACGGCGTCGTGATCAAAGCAGGCGCGCCATCTCAGTAGAACATAATCGCAAGAACTGAAGATTTATCACGGCATGAAAATAAATACGTTCTCTCCGTTCGCGTCGAGCCTTCGACACAAGACGGCACGAGTACATCAATGGAAGTGAGCTGGACTGTGCCGCGTGCGAGTTCATCATAATTCATCCATTTAGCGAGGTAGCGCACGAATTATATCGAATCAATTTAATTATTTATTTCCTAACTGCTCCGGGCACGTCGTAGTTCGCCATGAACCATTCCACCGTGGTCGCCATAGCCTCATCAAATGGCGTGAACTTGAAGTCCGGGAGGTACTTGCGCAGCTTCGCGTTGTTCGCAGTCTTCTTGAATTGCCCGTCAGCCTGTTATCGTGGAATCATGTTCAGGGAAATTAATTAATTTTGTGTCGCAGCACATACCTTTGTCGTGTCAAAGTTGACCTCGCCCTGGAAATCCAGCGCCTTCGCAACCGAGTGCGCCACGTCCGCGATGCTGATTTCGTCCTCCTCACCGACTAAGACGCGAAAAAGCAGCGAATGTCAGTCATGATTCGAGAATAAATAAAAAGAAATATTCTCGCCACACTTGAATCAAAACGCACCAGAAAGGATGATCGGATCCGCTTCTTCGTACTCTCGCATGGTCCAAATCATCAGTCTTGCGAGATCGGTGGAGTAGATGAACTGTCTCAACGGTTTACCGGATCCCCAGATCGTGAACGGTTCACCCTTTTGCTTGCACAGGTAACCTCTATGAATGAGACCTGGGATGACGTGGCTGTCGTCCAGGTGGAAGTTGTCGTGCTTGCCAAAAATGTTGGTTGGAATCACAGCGGTGAAGTTGCAACCATGTTGCGCCTTGTACATTCTGTTTTGCACGTCCACCATCCGTTTAGCGTAGGCGTATCCCTCGTTGGAGAAGTGGGGTGGCCCGTTGTGAATCATCGTCTCGTCGATGGGGAACGTCGTCTTGTCTGGGAAGATGCACGTCGAGAGGCATGAGACGAGCTTTTGGACCCCTGAGGAGCGCGAGAAGAGGACCACGGTCAGATACGAGTGATATTGATCGCGATCCACGCCAGCGTACCTCGCTTATGGCACTCTTGAAAGATGTTGTCGTTCATCGCTATGTTATTCCTCCAGAACTCAACCTTGTATTTCTGCGGAGGAAAGACGAACGCGCGAATGTCAGTCGCGATTCGATTTGACCTCTCGCGGCGCTTTGCACGCACCATATTAGCGAAAAGACCTCCGACCTGCGCCGCGAGGTGGATGACGTGCGTCGGCTTGTACTTATCGAACATGGCCGCCGTCGACTCCGGGTCGCACAAGTTTGCGTCCTGCGAAGACGGATCAAGGATCGCGCGTCGCTTCGTCAGTCGTCTCGAACCTCTTCGCGTCGCGAGCGACGTTCGAACGCGCGCACACGGCGAGGTCTCATTTTTTTTCCGTTTCGTCGTCCACTCTTCCCGTGAACGACGCTCGAACGTTCGCTCGCTCTTCAACTTTGTGTGGCTCACTCGCGATGCGCTCGCTCGCTCTCGCCCGTCTCTCGCACCTTGCTCGAGGCGAAGATCCACTCCTCATCGCTCGGTTTTTCGCCCTCGATCACCTCTCGGATCGCGCTCCCGACCAGGCCGCTTCCACCGGTGACCAAGACGATCTTTTTCGTCATCGTGTTGCGACTGGACGAGAAGTGCGGTCTCGACCGAGCCGCGCGCGCGTCAGGGTCGGACGTCGAGCTCGACGTGCGTCGGGCTCGGACGACCTCGCGCGCGGGTGACCTCGAGGTCGATGCCGGTCGAGGAACGGGACGCGACGCGCGCGTCGGGCGAACGGGAGACGACGACGGGGCGAACGACGAGCGAGACGACGAAACCATCGGCGTTTAAGAAGCGCGGCGGGACGACGAGAGCGAACGCGAGGAAGCGAGCGAAGGAGTCCGAGAGCGACGACGCGAATGAGAGCGATCATGATGACGATAACGAGCCGGAGAGAGCGCGGAAGCGGCGACAGGGAGGGATCGCGGCGAGCTCGCGCGAGGTAAAGGGAGGCGCGTACGAACGCTTTGCATTCGAGGGGACGCGCGCGGTTGGCGCGCGCGGCGACATGGGAGCGACGGCACAGCTGGAGATCAACACGGCGAAGGAAATGGATGGACGGACGATGCGAGAGCAGGTGCTGAGGCAGGCGGTGGAACGCGCGGACGGGTTCGAGGACGATAAGAAGTATAGAGGCACGAATGCCTACGTCGATTACAGAGCTGGTTTCAGGCGCGAACAAACCATCGCGAGCGAGAAAGGACGTGGCGCGCACGGTCCCATGCGAGCGGCGACGAACGTGCGGTCGACATTTGTTATGGATTACAAGCCGGACATTTGCAAGGATTACAAACAAACCGGCTTCTGCGGCTGGGGGGACGCGTGTAAATTTTTACATGACAGAGGCGATTATAAGCAAGGTTGGCAGTTAGACCGAGATTGGGAGCTCAAGGAGAAGGCGAGAAAGGCGGCCGAGGCGAAGATGGCCGCTCTGGGCGAAGATGGCGCCGCGGACAATTCCGAAGAAGAGCTCGAAAACGATCTTCCGGAGTCGTGCTCGATTTGCAACACTCCCTGGCTTGACGCAAAGTTTCCGGTGGCGACATCGTGTGGACACTGCTTCTGTGAACGCTGCGCCCTGCAACACAACGCAAAGGATACGACGTGCTTTACGTGTGGTAAAGATACTGGTGGGACTTTTAACGCCGCGAAGGACATTATCAAACGCGTGAAAGAGTGCAAGGCTACCGGTCGAGCGTGGCGCGAGCGGCGAAAAAGCGAAAAGCGCCTCGACGACAAACCCGCGTCCAACTCCGCGGGATGGGTTCTCGGTTAGATCGAACGTTGTGAATTTGAAACCTATTGATTATTAAATCACGTTAAATCAAGCCGCTTCTTCCGGTGTGAGCGTCACCATTTCGTTCACGGCGTGCACGGCGTCTTGCAATTCCATGAAGATGCACTTGTACACCGCGCGTTGCCTGTTCACCGCGCTCTTCCCCTCGAACGCCTTGGCGATGACCTTGATAGAGACGTGTCTCCCGTTCCCACTCTCGTCTCGTACTTCCACGGACTCGGCCTCTAATCCGTCCCTGATCTTCTGCTGCATCTGTTCCATCAACGCGCTGGTGATGTTGTTTCCCTCTCCACCCGTGGCGAACGCGCGCGCGAACGCGCGTCTTCGATCGCCCACGTGCGTCGACCCCCGTCGCACCCCCGTCGTGGACGTGGACGTCATCGCGCGCAGCGTCATCGCGATCGCGGGGACGCGTCGAGCGAGCGACGCCATCGTGTGCCGACGTGGGGACGTCACGCCCCACCGCACTAAACCCTGGTACACGAACGACACGCACGCGTCGAGCGTTCGTTTTCGTTGAATGCCTCATTCTCATCATCCCACGTCAACGCCCCGCGTGCGAGGACGACGCGCGAACGGCGACGCGGCACGCGATGGGCGCGATGACGCGCTCGACCGACGCGCGGGGCGTGGTGCGATGGACGCCCAGGGCGTCGCGTCGAACGCGCTTGGAGAGACGCGCGATGACGAGGACGATGACGTCCGCGACGCGACACGGCGAGCGGCGCGTTCGCGCGCTCGCCACGGACGAGGCGTCGACGAGCGAGGACGTGAGGTATCACGCGTGGCGAGGACACAGAGTGGCGTATCGCTCGAGTGGGACGAGCGGACCGGCGATCGTGCTCGTGCACGGGTTCGGGGTGTCGAGCTACCAGTTTAGAGATAACATCGAGGCGCTCGGCGAACGAAACCGCGTGTTCGCGATCGATCTCGTGGGGTTCGGCGCGAGCGATCAGCCCGATGTCGCGTACAACATGGAGTTTTGGCGCGATCAAGTGATCGACTTCGTGGAAAACGTCGTGGGCGAGCCCGCGGTGCTCGTCGGGAACTCCATCGGTTCGCTCGCCGCCGTGCACGTCGCCTCCGCGTCGCCAAAATCGACGTCGGGCATCGTCCTCATAAACTGCGCCGGGGGGATGAACAACAAAGTCAAGAGACTCGATGGAGATTTTGATGGGTACGGTTTGCAGTACAAGGCGGTCGTGCCGATTTTTAGCGTGGTGTTGGCCATCATAGACACGGTGCTGAAAATTGAACCAATCGCAAAGCCTCTATTCAACAGCGTGCGAGGGGAAGAAAACGTTCGCGGGGCGCTGGCAAACGTTTACATGGACGCCAGTCGCGTCGACGATGGCTTGGTCAAATCGATCTGCGGCGCCGCGAACAGAGAAGGAGCTTTCAAGGCTTTCGTGAACATATTGACGGGTCCCGCCGGACCGCGTCCAGAGGAGCTCATGCCAAACGTCGAGTGCCCGATACTCATCCTGTGGGGTAGCAAGGACACGATCACCCCGCTCGATTTCCCACTGGGACAATATTTCTTCAACCTTGAGAAGACGCGCGTCGGTAAAAAAACGGACTTCGTTCAGTTCGACGGAGAAGGCCACTGCGTCCAAGACGACAACCCAAAGCTCGTCAACGAAGCCATAGGTACGTGGGTCGCGGGATTACCGTGATCTCACCTCTAGGCTCGACGGATCACGCACGCGTGGATATAATATAGCTTTACGATTCGTCGTCACGATTCGTCGCGCTCGCGACAGCCCTGCAAAACCACCACGTCCACGTCGTCGTGCGCTCCCTGCAACAACATCTCTCCCTCGAAATCGATCCTCTTCCTTCGCTTCGCCGCTCGTAAGGTTCCGTTCAGCCCCTCGAACATGTCCGCGCACCGTTCGTCGCGAACCAAGACGCCGAATTTCACCTGTCGTCGAGTCCCGTCGTCCCTCGTCGTCGTCAGTCACCGCTCGACCGCGCGAGACCGATCGACTTTTCGCGCTCCACGCCGTTCGCCCGCGCGCACGTGCCTTGATTCGTCCATCGCGTGCGTCCACGATTCCCAATCGCGTCTCGAGCTCTCGCACCAACGCCTCCACGTCGGCGTCGACATCCATGTCCACCCGATCGCGCGCGCCCGTCTCTCGCGGCGTCGCGTTTCGCTTCCGAACGATGTCGTCCCCGCGCGGTGGTCCCGTCGTCGTCTCGCGCGTTCGATCGCGCGCGAATCGGTCGCACCGTCGCCGATGCGTCGACGCGAGAGCCACGTCCACGGGTCCGCACTCGTGGACGCGACACACTCGGGACGACCGTCCGGTGGTCGACGCGCTTCAACGGAAGAACCGGGCGCGCGACGGGCCACGGCGGCGCGCGAACGAATCGCGTTGCCGAACCCCGCGATGGCGTCGACGCGCGCCCGACCGGTTCGAGCGCGAGGGAGACGACCACGGATGGGGGGGAGAGTGAAACGGATGGGGACGCCCGCGCGTGGCGCGCGGATGAGGAGGACGAGTCGCGGTGGAACACGACGGAGCTCCATCGACGATTGCGTGATCTCAACGTGAATAACTCGCGCTCGAGCAGCGAGGAATCGTCGGGGCGAAGCGCGACGAGTGGACCGGACGGGAGCACGGATGGCGGCTCGGCGAGCTCGGGGGCGACGTCGACCCCGACCGGGGTGCTCCCGCACGGCTCGGGGGGGGCGAAGATCACGTCCAAGATGACGACCAAGGAGGTCACGCTCGGGGCGCAGAGGTTTGACTCTTTAAATCAGTACATTCTGATCAAAGATCTGGGGAGTGGATCGCATTCAAAGGTGAAATTGGCGATGAATCAACAGGACAACGCGTTGTACGCGGTGAAGTGGACGCACGCGCGGGTGAACTCGTTGAAGGCGGTGCGGAAGGAGATCGCGGTGCTGAAGAAGCTCAATCATCCCAACATTCGTACGCTACACGAAGTGATCGACGACGAGTTCGCGAAGGAGCTCATTTTAGTATTGGAGTACTGCGAGACGGGGCCCGTGTTTACGCGCTTCAGCACGACGCCCGTGGCGGAGGAGGTGTTGTGGAGGTACGCGCGCGACGTCGTGCTCGGTTTGGACTATCTTCACTCGCTACGCATCGCACATATGGATCTCAAACCGGAGAACATGCTTCTCTGCGCCGACGGCTCGGTGAAACTCGCAGACTTTGGGGTGAGTTTCATCCACGACGTGGTGCTGTCTGATGGGGTGGAGAAACGCCTCGTTGGTACGCCAGCATTTTTAGCGCCCGAAGTGCCCTCCGAGGCCGGCTACGATCCGTTCAGGGCAGATATCTGGTCTCTTGGAGTGTGCTTTTACAACATGGCCATGGGCAGGCTTCCATTCCGCGGGAAAACTGTGTTCCAAATCTGTGCGCACGCGCGCTCGAGCACCCTTGAGTTCAATGAGGACCTTTCAGACGACTTCAAGGATCTCGTGCGCTGCATGCTTTGCGTCGATGCAGAGAAGCGAGTGGATATCGCTGGTGTCATGCATCATAACTGGATCACCCATGGTGGGACAGATCCGCTCGCTCGACCTCTCACCGAGCTACCTCACAACATTGTCGAGGTCACGGAGGAAGAAGTCGCGAGCGCCGTGCGAACCGATCCACTCGCCGCCTTGTTGCAGCCCGCGTTCAATTTGGTTGAGTTCAACGATCGCGATATTCTCATGAGGAAGGGAGCGATCGGCGAGGTAATGTACTTTATAAACAAAGGATACGTGGACGTACTGCTCGACGCAGTTGGCGTCGATCTGGACACGATTGATGTGGAGCACGAATCAGACGTGCTGGTGGTGCGTCAGCCCGGGGAGATCGTCGGAGAAATCGCTTTCCTTAAGGCGTTACAAGGAATCAGAGACGAATCGTACGTTCATGGCTACCGCACGGCAACTGTCAGAGCGAAGGGCCCCGTTGAATGTCTGGCTGTGAGCTTGCAAGATATGATCGTCGCACTCGGGAAGGACGAAAGTTCGCGAGCGCGCATCGTGCGCAGTGCGAGCTTCAAGCTCGATCAGAACGAGGAAGTCCGACTTCAACTACTGGAGAAAACTTCGCGAACGAGCACGGATTCGGAACGAGAAGAGAAGCAGGCTCCGTTCGCTCCCAAGCGAACGATTCACGTTCTGTACGCCGAGGACAGCATGCCGACGCAAATGATCGTGAAAGCTTTTCTACGAAAGCTTGGCAACGTCGAAGTCGTCATCGCGCCCGACGGAAAAAGAGCGCTAGATGCTCACAGATCGATAAACCATAAATTTGATATGATTCTCATGGATTGTCAAATGCCTGTGATGGACGGGTTGGAAGCGACTCGACAAATCCGATCGCTCAATTCAGAAAAGGCGACGGTGCCAATTGTTGGAGTCTCGTCCGGTGTCGAAGGCATGGGTCACAAGGAGTGCATTGCTAATGGCATGAACGGATTTGTGTCCAAACCTTTGAACAAGCAGAAGATCGTCGACGTGATTCAAAAGACGTTGCCGGACTTGTTCAAAAATGACTAAGTTGATGCTTCGTGGTGAGGCACACTCTGGAGTGAGTTAAAAGGTATATGAGAGTACCACTGTCGAGTACTCATCATCACTATTTACAATAATGTACAACAAATGCTGCTGCGCAACTAATTCATCTATCGTCTCTGATGCATCGTCTAACGAACGCGCTCGAAATCATTTCTTTAGCGTAGCCTTCTTCGGTATCGTGAGCGCCGCCTCGGACCAGAGCGCCCGTTCGAGCATTGACGGAGTGAGCTCCGGCGCTCCGAGCTCGTCAGAACGACGCTGCAACGCCGCCATAAACTGTTTGTACCTCGGAAGGGAATATCTCTCGCTATCGCGGTCACCGTTTCCGATGACCACTACCAACGCCTCGTCGGAGAAGAACGGAAACCGTTCATCCGCGAGCGCCATGACCGCCGACGCCGTGGCCGGCCCGCACCCACGGAGTGCGATCAACGGCGCCATTGCATCCCCGAGCTTCTTTTGGCTCCCCCCTCCAGACATTTCGCTCGCCTGAGCGAACGCGCGCGCGCTCGCCTCGCGCACGCTCTCTTCGCTCAGCGCCTTTGCGTAATTCAACAAACCAGGTCGTGTTTTCCCCCGCCCGAGTTTCCAGCTCACGACGTCCACGTACTCCTCCTTCGTGATGTATCCACCGCGCTCGCCCTCGTCGTCGCGCGCTCTCCGGCTCTCGATCGCCCTCGGCAGCGTGGTTTGAATCTTTTCATTCAATCGCGTCAACGCCTCCCCTCTGTTCAGTCCCTCCACGCGCCGCGCGTACGACCGCAGCGCCGCGCGCCACGGCTCCGGATCGCTCGTCACCGCCCACAGGTCGACGGCCCCTCGGTGCGCGATCGGTGGCATCGCCTCGATCGCGCGTCGCGTCGTGACGTCGTCGCCGTCGGTCTCGCGCGTCTCGTCGTCACCTCTTCGCGCGTCATGGTCGACGCCGAGCGAACGACGGCGCGATCGACGACGCGGACCAACGCCTCGAGCTCGGCGTCGGCGTTTCTCGGCGGCGCCGCCGCGGGACTCGTCTCGAGCGCGGTGTTACAACCGTTCGAGGTGGTGAAGACGAAGATGCAGGCGGAGCGCTTGCGAGGGGCGCGAGGGATGTTCAAGGTGGCCACGGACGTGGTCACGCGATCTGGACCCCGTGGACTCTGGTCCGGGGTCTCCGCGTCGTGCGTGCGAACGGGCCTGGGGGCTGGGTTGTACTTTTGCCTCCTCGAGCGCGTCACGCGAGAGCTCGCGTCGACGCTCAAGCGGCCGGAGAGCACGGCGATGGAGCGATCGATGATGACGTTCGCGACCGGGGCGAGCGCGAGATCGGTGGCGGCGGTGTTGTTAAACCCGATCACGGTGGTAAAGACGCGGATGGAGTACCAGGGGGCGAGCGCGGGGGTGTCAAAGGGGTTGTTGGCCACGCTCGCGAGCGTCTCAAAGAGGGAGGGGGCGGCGGGGTTATTCTCGGGGCTCGGAAGCACCGTCGCTCGCGACGCCCCGTTCTCGGGATTGAATCTGTTGATTTTTACCAAGACTCGGTCGATGATGGCGGAGTTCGCGCGGATGCAGAACCGCGAACCGGACGCCGCGGATACGTTTATCGCCGGGGCGCTCGCGGGGGCGGGCGCCACCTTTATCACCCACCCGCCGGATGTCATTCGCACGCGAGTTCAACTCGGGCGGATGATGGCGTTGGAAGGAGGGGGGAAACCACCGGCGATATCGTTGTTGAAGATCGTCAGGGAAGAGGGCGTGCGCGCACTGTGGATCGGTTCGCTCCCGCGCGTGGCAAGGAGAACGTTTCAGCAGGCTATCACGTGGACGATGTTTGACGTTGTCTCGCGCGCTCTCGGAGGGTCGGACATCTTGCAGCGGCACTGAATCACTCTAGGGATAGCACAACAATCAAAAATCTAGCGGCGATCAAAAATATTGCTTATATATCGATGAAAAGCGACGCGTTCACGACGGCAGAAACCGGCATCCGAAGTCGCCACTCTCGACTTTTCTTGTTCATCCCCTGTCCCTTCTTCCCCGGACGGTTAGCCGCGACGTCCGCGAGCTTCCACTCGACCTCAGTGTCGTTAACATCCGTGATTTCCATCACTTTAGTGACGTTCGACGTGGACTCCGCGTTCTCCACCTCTCCCTTGTACGTCACCTCCATCATGAGCTCGCGAAAACGAGCTAGCTCGCTCGGCACTCGCAGCGTCCTCGTCGCCCCGGGACTCGCGATCTCCACGGCGACGTCCTCCGGGAATCCTTGATCTTCCAAAATAGCGTTGTGCGCGCGCACGATGGCGGTCAATTCGTCCAGAGTCGGCGACCCGTACTTGTCGCTCAGTTTGTCCACGCTCGCCTGCACGCGTCGCCGCGCCGCGTTCACCTTGAACGAGTGTACCTCGTACTCGCCCGTGAACGGCGCCGTGCCTAAAGCCTCTCTCAACGCCTCCAGAGCCTGCTTTCCGTACGCCTCTCCGCCATCGTCGATCATCCCTCCCTCGCTCGCGTCATCCGCGTCCGCGAACTCTTCCTCCGCGTCGAAATCCTCATCCAGGACCTCCTCGTCCTCTGCGTCCCCATCGTCCTCGCGCGCGCTCTTCGTCTTCGCCCGAGCGTGCGCGGGGATCGCCGTCCCGCGCTCGCTTCTCCACGACCCAAACCTCGCGCGCGAGGAGGACTTGTCGAGCGCGAGCCCGCCGCCGCCGCGTCCGCTCGCGCTCGACCGCGCCGCCGCTCTCCGAGCGAACGTTCGAGCGTGCGCGTCGAGCCTCGAACCGATCGTCCGCGCGGACGTTCCCGCGACGCGCGCGAGCATGGTGGACGACCGCGCGCGTGTGCGGTCGACGCGCGCGTCGTCCGTGTGGATATTTTCACGCGTCATCGCCAGTGCATTGGAAACGGTGAACGACGGCGTCACTGGCGATCGCGCGCGATGTCGAACGCGGGCGAGAACGCATCGTTGGACGTCCCGGACGCGGCCGAACGACGACGAGGCCCGCTGGCGAGCTTACAAGGGGTGTTTCGAGCGTGCGAGGAACGACTGAACGACGTCAACGAATCGTACGCGTTCGAGGTGAATCCAGAGTATCGGTTGAAGGTGCGGGCGTCGATCGGTTCGAGGACGACGGTTGGAATGACGTACGACGCTCGAGCGCGTCGATACAGGGTGGCGGTGAAGGGGAAGGCGATGGTAGAAGACGACGACGGAGAGGCGGCGGAGTCGACGGAGACGGAGGAGACGCGAGGACGCGGAATCTGGCGAACGATGAAGAAGGTGGTGATCGAACCGGAAGAGAAGCGAGTGGAGGCGTACACGCAGCGGTGGTCGTACGGACCGCTGTCGATCAGGGCGATCGGGGACTACGACGGAGAGACAAACGAATGGGGAGTGCGATGGCAGTTGCAGACGTTTCACAAGGAGAAGAAGAAGCTGCGCACGGCGGAAATCCCACTCGGTGCGAACGTTCGCGGATGCGTGCGGTGGGACGTCTCGAGCGCATCGCCGGAGATCGAGGGCAAGGTTGGATCACAAGACAAGTTTTCTCTTGACGTCGACGTGGGGTCGTACGAGATAAAGGTGCCGCGACTTGAACTCAAAATCGACATATAAAGTCTTGCTTTAGTTGATACTTGTTACATCGATGGCTTGCTACGCATCTAATCTAATTGTCGTCTCCGAAGAGCGTCCTGAACGCGACGTTCGAAGTCATGTCGACATACTTGTAGCCGCACAGCTCCAAGCACTTTTCGAACTCTTCGCGGTCGTTCTCCGTCACTTGCACGCCAAACAAAACCTTGCCCACCTGGCCACCGTCGGCGCGATAGTGTGTCATCGAAATCGACCATTTCGGACTGATAAAATCGAGGAAGTTACCCAGCGCGCCGGCTCGCTCAGGAATCTCGACGCTGTACAAGCGCTCATCTTTGACTCTCGCCTTGCCACCCGTCATGTGACGCAGGTGGAACTGGGTCGCGGTGTCGTTGGACAGATCAACCGTCTTAAATCCTAACGCATCCATGCGCGCCATCGTCTCCTGAACCTCCTTAATATCGCTAACTTCGATGGAGTACAGTACGCGTGCGTTATCCCCTTGCACGCGATATTTGAACTCCGAAATATTCCTGTCGCCCACAGTCTCGACGAATCGCTTGAACTCGCCGTTCTTCTCCGGAATGACGCTCAACAAGGTTGCTTCTTCCTTTCCACCCTGATCGGCAATCTCCGAGATCACGCGAAGACGATCAAAGTTCATGTTGGCGCCAGACGTGACGGCGACAACTTTACCCTTGAAATTGTTCGCCGTGCAGTAAGCCTTGGCGCCAGCAACCGCGACCGCACCCGCGGGCTCGAGGATGGAGCGCGTGTCACCGAAGACGTCCTTGATCGCGGACGCGATCTGATCGGTTCTTACGGTGATGATACCGTCAAGCATGGAATGAATGATCTCGAAGCAGTCGCGACCTGGCTCGCGCACGGCGACGCCGTCGGCGAAGCCGTCCACCTTGTTCAGTTTAACAATCTTCCCGCGAGCGAGCGATATGGTCATCGCGTTCGCTCCCGCAGGTTCGACACCGATGACGCGAATCTCCGGACGAATCGCCTTGATATACGCCGCCATACCCGCCGCGAGACCGCCGCCGCCGATGGGCACGAAGACGATGTCAACGCTCGGGAGCTGACGCAAAAGCTCAACACCGACCGTGCCCTGACCCGCGATCACGAACGGATCGTCAAACGGCGGAATATACGTTAAACCCTCTTCCTTCGACCGCTGCTTCGCGTACGCCTGCGTGGCGTCGTAGTTTTCCCCGACCAAGACCACCTCCCCGCCGAGTCGTCGCACCGCCTCCACCTTGATCCCGGGCGTCGTCACCGGCATGGCGATGATCGCCTTGCACCCGAGCTTTTGCCCGACATCGCCACTCCCTGCGCGTGATTACCCGCCGAGGACGTGATCACCCCTCTCGCTCGCTCCTCCTCTGAGAGCTGCTTCATCTTGTTATACGCTCCTCGAATCTTGAATGAAAACACCGGCTGCAGGTCCTCGCGCTTGAGATAAATCGACGCCCCGATGCGCTCGCTCAACCTCGGCGCGATCTCACACGGCGACTCGATCGCCACGTCATAAACATCCGCCGTTAAGATCGCCCGGACGTACCACGCCTCTCTCGCGACGTCCAACTCCTTCGTCGCCGGTCGCGTCACCGGTCCGATTTCGCCATCCACCAAGAGCAACTCCTCCGGGTCCACGAGCTCGGGTTCTTCGTGCGGTGTCATCGGTGGACGCGTGTTCGACGGGGCGAACACGCGCGGGACGATCGCTCGACGTCTTCGTCCGCCGACGACGACCGACGCGTCATCGCGCACGACCGTCGAGCGTCGAGCCAGAGCCGCCGTCTTTGTCGACGCGATCGTCCTCGAACGCGACGCGTTGGGCGCTCGGTTCGCGTCCGGACGCGCGTGACGCGTCATCGTCACGGCGTGTGACATCGTGCGCGTCGTCGCGATCGTCGAGCGATCGCGCGACGGCGTGTGCGGCGAAGGATTGGGAGCGACACCGCGCGATTGCGTCGTGGGCCTAGACCCTGAACCGGGGCGCTCGAGACGCGCGCGGATGTTTCAACGGGCGGCGTCGGCGCGCGCGTCGTTTCGTGGTGTTACATCCGATCGGTGTTTTCGTCGGTCTATGATATATCGCTCGTTCGGTCATCGTTCGGTCTCGCCGTGGATGTTATTGGAGCCGATGCGGTACCTCGCCGGTTTCGTCGTCACGCCGTAGGCGACGGAGGCGGAGAACCAAACGGTGCCGGGAATCTTGGCGAATCGTATCCTTCTGTGCGGCACCGAGGTCCAGCGCGCGCCGAGAGCGGGCTTGAGATTACTCCCGTGATCGTCCGCCAACGCGTCTTGGCCCGCGCTCACGGTATGATTGGTGTAGAGCGCGGCGGTTTTGCGCGTCGTCGCCAATCCGCGCAGGGTGGCGGCGACGGTGGCCATGATGGTGTATCCTTGGTGATGCGCCTTGGTGAGCAACGGCGAGAGCAAGCTCGATAAGGAATCGATCACGAGCAATCCCATGGTGGCTCGATCGGGGTTGTTATCGTCCTCGCTCGCCTCCTCCGCCAACTGCGACAGCAAGTGCAAGAGCGAGAAGACGTCGTGGCATCGATGCACGGCTATCAAATCGAGCGTCTGCCTCAGATTTCTCGCAACCTCCCCCTCGTCCGCGTCCTCGGTGAGAAACCCCCGGTGAAACTGCTTGATTCGAGTTGCCGAGAACCCCCCACCGGTATCGACGTACACCACTCGATGTCCCAGAGCGGCGAAGGACGCCGCCGCGCTCAGGCACACCTGCGTCTTTCCGCTCGCGCTCGGACCGACGATCTCAATCACCTCCCCTTGTCTCAACCCTCCACCCAACAACCCATCGATCGCGTCGCACCCGGTGGGTAAAATCTCCAACATGCTCAATCCCCGCTCGATCGACGTCCCGTTCACCGCGTTCGCCAACGTCTCCGCGACGCACGCCTCTCGCAGCGCCCGTCTCCGCGCGCCGCCGCCGTCGCCGCGCCCACCCCCCCAACACCCCTTGTCCCACCCCCCCTTTCCCGTTTCCTTTTCACACCCGCACAAAAAATCACCCATATCCACCCCCCATCGCAGCGCCCGTTCGATCTCCACCCGCGTTCGCCCGCGCGCGTCGTCCGCCGTCCCGTCGGCGATCGCGCGATTCGCACTGACGTCCACCACCCCGTCGTCCCGCGCCGTCGACGCCGTCACGGTCGCGTCCGCGCCCATGGGCGTCGACGCCGCGTCACCGCGCGCCCGTCGTCTCGCGCGCGCGCGCCCGGTGGCGCCGACGCGTGCGATGACGCCGACGCGGGATCGACGCATCACCCATCGCTCGACCTCGACACCCGGGTGTTTTGACCACCCCCCGAGGCCCCGACGCGTCGTGCGTCGCGCCTCGGTCGGGGACGATTCACATCACGATCGACATCACCACCCGACACTTTGTGATTTCAATCACGAGCACCACCGATCGACGGTGGATGTCACCTTTCGAGCGCGCGCGAGCGGTGTCGTCGCGACGCGCTAGGGTTCGACCGGTGACATAATGTACGCATCATCACTGTATTTTCTCGACACCGGTGCCGACATGTCGTCGTATCAGTACCTTGATGCCTATCACTGTCACTATCAGAAAAAACGAATACGCTTGACGTACACACACTATGAAATCACGATCTCAAGCACCACATCGTGCGTTGAAAGCACCTTCACGACCCATCGACGGTGATTTACCCAACCTCGCTCGTGGTCTAGGTTGGGTAAATCACCTTCCATGGGTGGTGATGGTGATTCAAATCACCAAGTTTCGAGTGGTGATGTGGTGATTCAGAAGGTGATGCAGATTTTACCCACCCTCGCTCGTGGTCGTACGTCGATGGACACACGGCGGTCACAGTACGAACGCGTCGACGTCCACGCCCGCGGCGGCGGCGGCGAGCGATCGCGATCGACGCCGCGCGCGACGCCGGGGTGTGGACGACAGTGCGTCGACGACGACGACGCGCGAGGTCGACGCGCGACGCGCGCGTGAACGCGGACGATGGCGCTCACGGAACTGACGCGGGAGACGACGACGGGGGGGGCGTCGCGGGCGGCGTCGCGCGCCGCGTGCGAGGTCCTGGGGGTTTTGATCCACGGCGAGACGGAGCGCGTGGGAGGTGGGCAAGGCGTGGACGACGCGATGGATTTGGCGGAGACGGCGGGGGGGGGTGGATGCGGGATGGGCGCGGCGGAGACGTTCGCGGCGGAGGTGTTCGCGAAGGGTGATGATGCGATTTTGGACGCCGCGACGGAGCACGCCGCGACGCTCTTCGGCGACGGGGGGGACGCCGAGGTGCGAGGCGTGGTGGCGGTCATGACGTCGCTCGCGGGGGATGATGAAGAAAAGGTGAAGCGTGTGATGGATTGCGTGACGTCGAGGACGAGCGAGCGGGTGATCCTGCGCGTGCGATGCGCGATGGCGGTGTACAACGACGCGAGCGAAAGGGCGAGCGTCGGGACGCGGTTGGATTTATTCGAGCGCGTCGCGAAATACTGCGTCGAGGCGAAGCAAACGAAGATTTACCCGATTCTCATCGCGCACGCCGGGGACGAGACGATTTGGGGGACGGACGCGAAGACGCGAAGACGCGCGCTCAAGACGAGCGTGGATTTGCTCAGGGAGTCAAATGCGAGCGAGGAGGAACTCTTCGCGTGCATGATTAAGTACTTAGCGACGTTCGAGAACGACGCGGGGGCGGCGGGAGAGGCGGCGGACATCGCAAAGGAGACCGTGCGCGCTTTCATCGCCTCGCCGACCATGTTCCACGGCGATTTCATGTCGCTCCAAGGATTGAAGAATGCCGACGCCGACGCGCTCAAGCTCCTCTCCACCCTTCTCACGGGGTCGGTGAGCGATTACAAGGCCCTGAACGCGTCGATCGTTTCTCGACTTGGCTTGAACGCGGACGAATGCATGGCAAAGATGCGCATCATGGCGCTGTCCACGCTCGGTAAGAAGGGCGAGGTGACGTACGCGGAGATCAAGGACGCGCTCCAGTGCGCCGACGACGAGGTCGAGGAATGGGTCGTGCGATCGGTCGGCGCGGGCGTCGTCGACGCAAAGATGGACCAGTCACAACAGCGCGTCGTCTTCACTCGGTGCACCGATCGCGTCTGGTCCGGGGATGAATGGAAGCGATTGAGCTCGAGAATCACAGAGTGGCGCACGTCCGTGGCGTCCATCCAAAAGACGCTCGTCGCCAAATAAACATCTCACTAGTCGATTGATGTGAAACGAATCGTTCAAAGTTTGAATTACAATTACAACAATACGCCCGTCGATAACGGCGTTATTCCCACAGTAGACACACCCCGTTCTTGTCCGCGGACGCGAGCATCCCAGAGCTACTCCACGAGCACGAAGCGACGACGGCGTCGTGACCGTGAAGCGTCGTCATCAAACGTCCGTCTTGCACACGCCAGATGAAGAGCCCGCCGTCAGACCCACCCGCCGCAATGTGTTGACCGTCTGGTGCCGCGCACGGATTGCTCCAGTCCGTTCCAACGCGATACTTGGGGGACGAGAAATTCCTCACCACCTCCATCATTCGAACGTCGACGAGTTTCAAACAATTATCTCGGCTGTTCGTGAGCACTTCGTTCTCGCTCGGCATCGCGACGATGGACGTGATCGGTCCTGCGTGGACCTTGTTCTCTTTTTCGACTTGGTTCGCGCGCAGATCCCAAACGCGGACGGAACCGTCGAAGTGTCCTGAGAAGGCGTGTCTCTCGGTCGCGCCATACAAGACGCTGTGCGCCGTGCTCGCCGTGAGCATTGAGGTCGTTGCGAGTCCGCGAACGAGGTCCCACGTCTTCAGAGTCCGATCCCGAGAGGCCGATATGGCGCGCTTCGCGTCTGTCTGACTAATTTGAGCCGATGTCGCCTGTTGCGCGTGTCCCGTGAGACGGTGCTTCACTCGACCCGTGAGCGCTTCCCAGAGCTGTAGCGAACAATCCGTGGAAGCCCCGAGCACGAGTGTGTCGTCCGCGGAGAACGATACGTCCAACACACCACCAAGACAGCCGAGCAATTCACTCGTCCGCGCGCCAGTGGCGGTGTCAAAAATGGCGACCACCTTGTCTTCCCCCGCGCACGCCGCCGAGAATCCGTCGTGCGACAGCGCCACACGGTGCGTCCCTCCCTTGTTACTCCGTAGAACGTGGCGCTTCTTCGCCGGTATCGTCGCCATCGTACCCGAAATCGATAATCGCGTCATACTTGCCGCCGATGCCTCGGCCAAGCTCTCCGCCTTGGCGTTCAGCTCGGCGTTCTTCTTCTGTCGCTGCAGGTCGGCGTACAAGTCATTAATTTCATTCATCCTCTCTGCCTCCTTGGCTTTCATCTCCATCAAACGCTCCAAGAGCTCCCTATTTTCCTTCTCTAACGCGTCGGCCCTTCCTAAAGCCGCATTCTTCATCGCCGTCTGCGAATCGACCTCCACCAACGCTTGTGCTTCCGCCTTTCTCGACGAAGCGAGCGCCTTTTCCGACTCTCTCGCTCGCCGCTCGAACCGTTCCTTCGCCTCCGTCGCCGCCTCCATCGCTCGCTCCGCTTCCCCCCGCGCCGACTGCGCTCTCGCCGCCTCCTCTCGAGCGTCCATGAGATCTTTCATCGCCTCTTTCAGCTTCCCGTACGCCTCGTTCACCGAATCGGACGCGCTTCCGTCGCCACCAGCGACGCGCGCGCTCGCGATTGCTTTCTCTAAATCCAACGTCTCCCGCGTCAACACCCGCATCTGCGACTCTAAAGCCGCGTTCCTAGACTCCGAAGCGGTTAACCTCGATACCACCTCTTCATGCGACCGCACCAGGGAGTCGTACGCGCGTAGTTTTGCTCGGGTCGTCGTCGAATCTGGTTGGATTTGCAACGATGTCGAATCAGAAGGATTAATCACCCGTTGCGCCTTCCGTTCTTCATCGTTCGCGTCGTCATCGACGGCGCCGTCGCGCGTGCGAATTCGACGAGCGATGACATCCGCGGTGTCGCGCCTGGCGTCGAAGCGCGCGGGCGCTACCGCGTCTTTGTCCGCCATGCTCTGAGGTGCGTGACACCACTCAACGACGCCGCGTTCGTCGACGTGCGCGGGAGATGGTGCGCGACGAACGACGAGCAGACGAGGACGGGTGCGCTCTCGAAACTCGTCGCGTTCAAACGGCGACGCGATCGATGGAGACGACGAACGAGTCGGAAACAGTGACAGCTGTCTCTACGCTGCTCGAAGCCGCGACGCGCGTGCGACGCGCGATGACGACGCGATCGAAGAGCGACGAGATCAGACGTCTCGGGACGTCGATGATGGGCGCTTTGACGAGCGAACGATCGTCGGTAAAGGTTCGGTTGATCAAGGGGAAGGCCAAGGCGTGCGCGGAGGCGTTGGAGCGATGGGGCGAGACGCGAGCGCGGCGAGAGGCGGAGATCGAGCGCGCGGTGGAGTCTTTGGACGAGAAGGGGATGGTAGTGTTAGAAAAGAAAATAATGGATGATTTGCTAGAGTTTGAGAGGTATTTAGAGGATGAGGAGGTGTTGGAGGCGTTACCCAGAGCCGTTGCAGATATCACTGAGTTGACGTCCGAGCCGGAGCGGGCGACGATCGAGACGATGCATCGAGCGTTAGGAGACGCGGATGAGGCGAGCGCGCGGGGCTTAGATGGTCTGTGCAGTGAATTGAGCGCGATCGAGGTCGATCCGGCATGGCGAGGGCGACTGATGGCGGAGGTTCAGCGCTCTGCAGCGGAGAACGGGTGGAGCGCGGGTAACTTTGCGTATGGATCGACATCGTTCTCGACGTGGTCAGAGCTCTTCGCACGATGCGATGCGCTTCGCGCGCGTGCAAGGACGCTCAATGATGAAGATTTCGTCGTCTTCGGTAGCAGTGCTGGGTGGTTGGTGTTTTACGCCGCGGCGACGCTTCGCGCGCGGGCGTATCGAGGATTTGAAATCCTTCAAACGCTGCACGACACCGCGTTGAGAGCGCTCGCCAATTTCGAGCACCACACGTCGTCAAAGATCGACTTCGTTCGCGCCGACATGCTCTCGGCGTCGTTACAGAGCGTGGGATTGATCGTCTTGACCAGTCTGTGTTGGGATGAAGCCGTGTACGAGGCGTGCGCGCGCAAGCTCGCTCGCGAGCTCCCTCTCGGCGCCCTCGTCATCGACTACCGCGACGCGCTCGGGCGCCACGACGCGTTCACGCGACTCACCGACGACCCCATTCGCTTACCCGTGAGCTGGAATCCCAGGCAGGCGTTCTACGTCTTCGCCAAGACGACGTAAAATATCCCGCGCGTACGAATATTTTCATCCACAGAATGTAAACCGGCGCCGCGCGCGCGGTCGAGACCACGAGCTTAGGGCTCACTCGAACTGCGCGTCGGCAGTCCCTCGCTCGATGTCAGCGCCCTCGACGAGCGATCGCGTCACCGTGGTGCTCACGACGAGTCCGTGTCGAATACATCCCAACACCGCGCTCGTGGAGGAGGTGGTCGGAAGCATCAGAGCGTGCGGGGGCGACGCGTTGCGTCAATGTCGATTGATTCTCGTCTGCGACGGTTACAAAGTGCGAGCACGGGATAAATTTCGCTCGGGCGCGGTCTCGATCGAGAGCGCGCGGGCGTACTCGGAGTATCTCGATCGTTTGTGTTTTTTGTGCGCGCGGAGCGAGGCGAGCGCGCTGTACGGAGGGGAGATGGTTATCCTGGAGGAAAGACACGGGTTCGCGCACGCGTTAAAGCGAGGCGTGTTTAGAGTGACGACGCCGTACGTTTTAGTGGCGCAGCACGATCGCTCGTTCACGAGAAGTGGAATTCCAGTGAAAGAGGTGCTGGATATCATGGACGGTCATCCGGAGGTGTCGTACTGCGGGTTTCCCACATCGACGACGATTTCGCACGACGCAAAAATTGTGGGCAAAGTGTTCCAGGAGGGTGGGAAGAAGCTACAGCTCTCGCGAAGGACGTATCCGGGACATCATGGAATAGAACTCGTACCCCTCGTGCAGTTTTACGACAGCATGCACGTCGCGAGGACGTCTTGGTACCTTTCTAAGATATACGGAAAGGACCGTTTTGTCAACCTCCCGCTCGGCGGTTTCATAGAGGACACGGTGGGGCAACACATGGTGGCGGAAATCCGTGCTCACGGCGCCTCTGCACACGCCCAATTCGCCACGTTTATCGTCGAGGACGGCACCGGGGAGACGATGTGCGGTCACATCGACGGACACGACCCGATGAACGACGCGCACTCCCGCGGTTCAGACGTCGTCGGCCGCGCCAAGTTTCGCTTTGTCGCCGACGAAGCCTCATGGCCCGACGCCGTCCGCGGTCTCGCCGACGCCGTCGTCCGTCTCCAGGGTACCGGTCACTACAGCGAGCGCCGCGATTACCTCTCTAGCCTCTCCGCGTAGCCTTAGATTATCCGCCTAGCGTCGCGTAACCTCTGACGGTTTGAAAAATTCATGTTTTTTGGTCGTTGGCCGCACATCATGCCTTCTTCCTCCAAGACCGCCGTCGACGCGCGCGCGTCGACGCGCGCCGAGCTCCAGCGTCTTCTCTGGGCCCTCGAGCACGTCTTACTCCTCCCCGACGTCCCGCTCGCGTCCAAGCTCAACGTCTTGAAGTTCGTCAAGCGCGCGAGCGGCGCCGAGGCGTCGGGTGCGTTCGATGAAGAACTCGCTCGACGCGGCGCTTTAGGGCTCGTCAAGTGCGCCGAGAGAACGAACGGATTTACCACGCTCACGGCATCGAGCGCGTCGCACTGCGCGGACGATCTGTGCGCGTACAGTAAGCGAAGAGATGCGAATCCTTCCCTCGCGGCGCGCGCGCGAGAGATCGCCGAGCGGGCAAAGGCGGAGTACGCGTTCGGACAGCTTCGACTGGGGCGGGATGGGTTCGGGGCGTCTCCGGTGAAGGAGAGCGAGGCTAGACGAGGGAAAGCGTCGCCGGTGAAGCAGTGGCGATTGGTGGAGAATTTTTGGTTGCGTTGGAACGACGTACGGGCGAGCGACATGTTTGCCGAGGATGGGAAGAAGTTGGTCGGGAGCAAGACGCGAGAAGCTTACGTTTTCGTCGAGGGGGCGAAGAAGAAGGGCGGGAAGCTCCCGGGCTCGTGGGAGACGGTGGTGGAGGATCCGGCGGAGATTTTGGATGCCATGGGAGAGCTCTTCGAGGATGCGGTGGCGACTTTTGGGAAGAGTTTCCTGAGCTTGGTCGTTGATGACATCCAGAGCGGCGCGTACAAAGTGACGATGAAGAAGGGATTGATCACGGACTCGGGACGGGTAAACGCGTCGACGGTGGAGGCGGCAATGCAGAGGAACTCCAAGGTACGCGAACGGCTCGCCATGGACGCGTTGGAGCAATCAGGAGACATGTTTGCATCGCCACCGAAAAAGGTACACATCGCCGCCGAGCGCAAGGCCAACGCGCGCACGGTGGAGTGGAATTCGCAACCCGACGAAGGAGCGGCAGAGAGCCCGGAACCGCTGGCAACGCTCCCGTGGGATGGCTTCGAGAACACGCAGGCGGAGAGAACTCCCAGAAAGCGCGTGTCGAGCCCCGATCCTAAGTCACCGCCCAGAAACGGAAAGCAGCTTCGCTGGACCGATGTCGAGGTCCAGGCGCTCATCCGAGGCGTCGAGAAGTACGGCGTCGGTAAGTGGTCGTACATCATGAAAGACCCCACCATGTTCGCCGATTTCCATCCGCGACGCACCAGCGTCGATCTCAAGGATAAGTGGCGCGTCATCGCGCCAAAGATGATCTGATGTGGCGCGTTATTAGCACTCCCTTTTACAAGTGTATGATACCACACACGCTTCGCACACGTCCGCGCATGCGCACCGCCCTCGCGCGTGCGCTAAACGCTCGCGTCCGCGCCTACGCATCCAATTCCCTCGCCCATGAGATTCGCGGTCCACCGCTCGATGAGAAACCGTTGGACAATGTCATCTTTTGGCTCCACGGATTGATGGGGCAAGGCAAGAATTGGAGAACGTTCACGTCCCGCTTACGGCAATCGCTCGTCGATCGAGATGGGCGCTCGTGGCGTATCGTACTCGTCGACCTGCGCGGGCACGGCGCGAGCGCGAGCGTTGGCGCTGGGACGACGTCGGAGGAGTTGTTAGTCGACGCGGCGCGGGACGTGGAGGCGTTGGTGAACAAGCTAGGCGTCGTCCCAAAGATCGTCGTCGGGCACTCTCTCGGTGGGAAGATCGCGCTAGAGTACTCCAAGATTGCGACGGCGGTGCCCACGCAGATTTGGTCGCTGGATTCGAGCCCGGGGAAGGTGGAGGTGACGGACGCACACGGAGCTGGACGCGTGCTTGCAGCGATACGACAGTTACCGTCGCGGATCCCATCAAGACGTTGGCTCGCGGAGGCGCTTCCGAAGGAGTTTTCACGAGGGTTAGTGGATTGGATAGGGAGTAATTTGAAGAACGTCTCGGGTGGGGAAGAGCTCGAGTGGGTGCATAACTTTGAAACGGTTGAGGCGCTGTATCAGAGCTTTCGGAACACGGATTCTTGGCCTGCGTTTGAGGATCCTCGAACGGATTTTTACGTGGTCAAGGCGGAGCGTAGTACAGCTTGGTCGGCCACAGACGTGGCAAGACTACGAAAAACGCCTCGATCGAAATTTATGGTGTTGCCGCGCGCCGACCATTGGTTGCACACGGACAATCCGGATGGTCTTTTAGAACTGATGTCAGACTCTATCTTGGCAGACTTGTAATATTTGTACACGGTACTGGTAAACACGCTAGATGACGGGCGATCGGCACATCGGACAGCACAGAGACGTCGTTTTCAGTGCTGTGTACTGGTAAACACGCTAGATGACGGGCGATCGGCACATCGGACAGCACAGAGACGTCGTTTTCAGTGCTGTGAGTAAGCACGTAGCGTGATATACGTGCGAACACTTGGTCCGGATGACTTTTTCGTCGACGTGAATGTCATTCAGACATACAGCGCACGCGCACCCGACAGAGGCGCTCGCAGTGGCAGTTCGTTCGAGCTCGCGTAAGATGGCTGTCTTGCGTTCTTGTTCCACGCGTTCGGGGCTGGTGAAGAGTAAACGGTCGCTCTCCCAGAGATCGGCGCCGAAAGTACGGGCGTCGTCGGCGAATAGCCGTGCGTCGTCGGCGTGCAAATTGACACCGTAGCTCGGCGCGCCGTCGGCGAACAGCACCGCATCGCTCGAGTACAGGTGAGCGTCTGGGTGCGATGAAGACTCCGCGAATGGTCTAGGAGAAATAATACCCCGACGAAATGCAATATCTAGAAGCACCTCGGCGTCGAGGGCGGCGTAAAAGAGCTGTTGCTGCGACAGTGGCCGGGCGTCCCAATTACTTCGTTGACACCGTTTGTCGAGAGCAAAGCCCAAGGTGTCGGCGACGACGGACGCCAAGGAAACCAATTCTACGCCCTGTAAATCGATGACGTTGGCGTTGCAGTACGACGCCGGTAGAGCTGCGTTTCCGGCCGAGATACGAATTCTTCTCCAATCCTGCTCCGCAGCGAAACCAATTTTCCGAACGCTGAAGTCGCCGAAAACGGCAATGAGAAACTGGGAAAACGCATCTTTCCCGACTCGTAGAGCGTCGATGATGAATGTCTCGCGAGTGTGCGCGGGAGAAATTTGTAATGTCGAGAGCGGCCTCGGATCTCGCCACTCGCAGTCGAACGAAAACGCTTCGCACGATGCCGACAAAATGACTTCTCTAACTTGAGCCAATGCGCCTGCGTCTTCGATGAGCACAACGCGCTTTTTTGGACGCATGATCGGTAGCTCCGTGGCGATGGATACGCTCTCCAAACTGGCGTTGATACGATTTACGTCATCGGGAGCACGCGCCGAGAATACATCGCGAAGTCTCGGTCGCGTTGACGCATAGGCTTTTGCCTCCAACCAATCACCGCGCTCCAACAAATCCTCGAGCACAAATGCTTCGATGCACGAGACAATGTCTTCGCTCGCCATTTCGGTGACATCGATCTCCCAAGCATCGGCGAAACGGCGAGCGACCTTGGCTATGACGCTGTCATCGAGAGATGACGCGACTGCGCTCAGACCGGCGAATAAAGGTTTTTGCCACGACTCCACGCGCGCTCCTAAATCGGCCAAGTTGACCGCAACGTGTGCAATTGATGACGGATCACTTGCATCAATGCGTTTGCACATGTTCGATGCTAGTCCCCTGACACTTTCACTAACCTCTGCTAACTGTATGGCTGATGAAACGTTAATCTCTTCGAGGTTCAAGACGTCGTTCAGCTCTCGGTGGTTAATCTCTTCGCAAGCACGAACAATTGCTTGCGCCAGTTGCTCGCGTGTCGGCACCGACTCTCCATGGCGCAGCGCCCGGCGCACGATTCCGTACGTCATCGCCGAACCGCAAAACTCAAACAGTAAACTCGGCGAAATCGACCAAGCGCCGTTAGACATGGAACTAGCGACCGCCGTGGCCAAAATCTTGCTCACAGTTCTTCGTGCCTTCTCAGCGCGCGCGTGTGTACGATCCGACGTGCCGCTATCGGACAGACGCGCTCCCACGAGCGCGCGAAGCGCGCGAAAATCATCATCACCTTTAGCAACGCGTGAAAGTACTTCAGTGGCGCGAGCGGTGATGTCTGGTTTCTGCCCGTTCGCCGCGATGGCAGTCTCCGCTCGAAGGATTCGTCCGCACATCTCGACGACATCGGCGTCGTGTCTTGCTCGATTACCAAAGAATTCCCCGAACTCCAGCCACGCCTCCTCGGCCTCGCGCTCGCGTTTTGCTCGTAGCTCTGCCTTTTTTCGCGCTTGGAGATCGACGCCGTCGGGGTTGTCCCAACTCACTCCCTTGTTTAGCTTTTTAAAGTTCCGCCTTCTCGATTCAACCGTGCTCACGCCTCGTCCCGGCTCTCTCGCAGCCTCCGGGAAGAATCGCTCGTCCAGATCCCCGTACTTGAGTCCATCACTGTGCGTCAATCTGAAATTCCACCACGTCGTCTCCAGTTTCTCCGCCTCCGCGATCGCCTCGATAGTCTCCCGCGCGCAGTGACTCACCGCCAAGGAATACGGGCTCTGTCCCTTGTTATTTATAATCTTCACCTTGCACTTCCGACTCAGAAGATACATCACGACATCGTCTCGACACCGCGTCAGGGCATAGAAAATCGGCGTCTTCCCGTAATTGTGTCTCCCGGTGGAGATTTGATCGACGTCCGCGCCGTATTCCTCCACGAGCGCCTCGACGACTTTCAAGTCCCCGCGCCACGCGGCCAAATGCAGCGCCGCCTTCCCGCTCCGTTCCGCTCGAGCGGAGACGATGGCGAGCACATCACCATCTTCACCGTCGTCGCTGGACTCGACGCGCGATTCGATCGCTCGACGCAACGCCTCGACGCTCTCGCCGCACAGCGCGCTCTGCGGCAACGCCTCGAGCGGTCGCGCTCGCGCTCGCCCCACCACGGGCATCGCTCGCGACGTCACGCGCGCTCGCCCGACCGCGCGCGGACGCACCGCGCGCGCGAGCATCCACGCGCGCGCGCGAGGACGGCGGCGAAGACGTCGACCATGCACCGGGACGACACAGGCACGAGCGCACGCGAGCGTCACTCTCTGACGCTCCACCTCGGTCCACGCGCGTCGCACGGGCGATGAGCTCGGTGGAAGAGATCGAACGATTGTTGACAGACGCGTTGGCGCCGACCGAACTGGACGTCGTGGACGTCTCGGCGTCGTGCGGGTCGGCTTTCGACGTGTCGATTGTCTCGGCAAAGTTCACGGGCGTGGGTCGTTTACAGCGACATCGCATGGTGCACGAAGCGTTGGGGGACGTCATGTCGCGCGTGCACGCGATGAAGATCGACGCGAAGGCGCCGTGAGGATGCGGGTGTGAGGGATACGGCGCGCGCGGTGGTTGTAGTGTTAAAACAAATCAGTCAAAGCGGTGAAGACGCGCGAGGCGCGTTACGAGACGGCGAGGAAACTTTTGAGTTTCTCCACCATTGCCGGGGGCCAACGGCGGATGCGGGTGACGTAATCGATGTCCTTGTACTGCGCGCAGCCGCTCTCGCGGGAGCACGCCTGGACCCACATTTCTTCGGCGTCTTCAAATCTACCCGAGGAGTAATAGAGCGACGCCACCGCCGCCCGAGCGTCCGCTGAGTTGGGCGCTCTGCGCACGAGCCCCTCGAGCGATTTAAGCGCATTTTGCTCCTCTCCGAGCTGAACGCTCGCAAGTGCGGCGTTCGCTTGGGCGTATATTGCCCCATCGAGCCTCTGCGTCGTGCTCATGCCGTTTTTGAATCCCTTTGCGCCTTGGAACAGCCTCGCCGCGTCGTTGTAGTCGTCCCTCGCGCCGGCCCAATCTCCGAGCGACCCCTTGACGTTCCCACGCGCGTTCACCGTGTACGGATCCGGGGCGAACCCACCCTCGGCACACAAGCGTAATACCTCGTCGTAATCCTTCAGTGCGTTCGCGAAATCGTACACGCCTTCGCGCGCCAAGCCTCTCCCCGCTAATACTCGCGCCGCGGCGCCGGCGTCGCCCTCACACATCGCGTACGCGTCGTCGTACGCCCCGATCGCCTCGTCAAACTTCTTCGCGTCGACCGATATCTGTGCCTCGGCCTCGGTCCACGTCAGACCGGGCTCGAGCTCTCTCAGTCGTCTCGCCGCGCGAAGCGCCGTTGCAAAGTCCCGCCTCGAGTACGCCTCACCCAGCTCCCGCTGGAGCTCTTCCGAGCTCTCCATCGCTCGCGCCGCTCCTGCGCGATCGACTGCGATCGCGACCGAGGCACACAGGGCGAACACCGCTCGTCGACTCGTCGTCGGTGCGTTTTCATCCGTCAACTCTGTGTGTTCACTCGTCGCGGAGTTCCGCGAGACGCGCGCGGTGGTCTCGACGACGCGCTCGCGCGGGTTCGTTCGAGCACGGACGCGTCGATGGAGTGTCAGAGCGACGCGGGCCGCGCCGGTGGAGGCGTCCATCGCGAATTCGTGGAGCGTCGATGTATGGGGGCGCGAAAGCGATGTTTGAGTTAGACTGATAATACACGTCAAAGACGCATCTCGTGAATCTCGCAGTTCTTCATGCTGCGGTGATTACCGGAGAATTCCTTGAAAAACTCAGAGTGACCGAAGATCACGAAAGTTTTCTCCGGTCTATTCAGGAGCCAGGAACGGAATTTTTCCACGCGCTGCTTGAAGTGCTTGGCCGGCTCGTGCGAGTTGAACTGTCGCGCCTGGGCGTCGTTCGGTTTCCGATCGCAGTCCCACCACCACCGGTCGTTGGGGATTCTAGATAGTGCTAAACTAAGTTGTGGGAAATCCTCCGACAGGCAGTGCGTTGGGCGACCGATGTCGCCCGTGCAGTTGAGTTTCTCTGTCAACTCGTGACGCACCACGACTTGCTTGGTCCAGTCGTTGAACTCCTTCTCTGGATCGAAATCCTTCGCGGACGTCCCCGACGGCGTGTTGATGTCGTCTGCGTTTTCATCGGGCGATTCCCCATCCTTGGCAACTTTCCG